GAGAGAGAGAGAGACAGAGATAGACACAGAGAGAGACACATACGCAGAGAGAGACACACGCAGAGAGAGACAGAGACACACACAGACAGAAACAACGCCTCTGTGACGAGGTATTATATAGATCCCAGAGGGGGAGGGAGGGGGGGAGAAGGGGCTGCAGTAGCAGGAGAGATCGGCAGCATGGGGGAGAGTGAGGGGGGGGACAGAGAAATTAGCATGTCAATGAGAGACAAGGGGGGGATATTTTTTCTTTCTACGCGACTTTTACCGAAAGAACTAAAGAGTAATTCCTGCAGCCACGAAAGCTTCAATCAATCTTAACACCTGTTTGTTGCCAGATAAACTCCTTTAAAAAGTTTTTTTTTTAAACAACGGTTTTATTAGCAACGTCCTTTAACTCACGGTCGAGAAGTGCGTCAATGATGCGGTGCCTGCTCCAACATCAACGCTGACTTCAATTAATTGATTCCTTCCGTAACTCGTTCACACGGTTGTTCGAGGCGATTCGAGAGCTTAGGGACCGCGGCGTGTTTTACCTACACAAATATATATTAGTAATAAGGCGCCCATAAAAAATGTAAATTGCTTTAAAGTAGTGAATTAATTGATTAATTGATGGCGATTTTGATACAGGCATGCATTGTCATAGCAAACGGGGGGGGGGGGGTGAAGCCTCGATAATAACAATGCAGCCGGCGGTGGACTATCTGTTTGCTTAAACACGTTAATATGATTAATCATTGATCGTTTCTGCGTGGATTAGATATCGACCGTTTTATAGGATTCGGTGGGGGCGGGGGTGCGTCAATCGCACGCACGTACGCAGGTGGTGGGTGGGGGGGGGTGTAAAAAGTTCGTGTGTGTACAGGGAGGGGTCAAGTTTTGACAGATTTTTGCGTACCTACTAAATGGATGGCCCCTATACAGCTCTCTTTCAGAAGCGACCTGGCCACAAATGATAGCTCAACGAAGCTACTCATGACGTGAAATTGTATTATGGGCAAGTACTCTAAATGCGTGTTTCTCAATCCACACGACCACGGAGAGAACATACACAATTCCAAATAGACAGGCCTTACAGTCGGGATCGAACCGCCTTATGTGGCCGCACCATTGTATGAATGGAAGTTGTTGCAGGCCGTGTGAAATGAATGTAAGAGGGTTCCCCACCCCTGCCGTACAGGAACACGTCTTTGTCGCGTTGTGAATGCTGAAATTTCCTGGCTTTTTGCGCGTGAGTGAAAACTCCTCGCCTCACTCACGCCGGATTGTGTCTGTCTCCTCACGCTGCCGCTCACCCCTAAAGACTCTGCTGCTCACCCGCAGGTGAGGTCTCCTCCGCTACTCACACTTCCTTCCCACTCCCGTTTCTTCCTTTTGCTATTTCCCTTGGGCTGACGATCGCGGCCGACGAGTAAGAACGCTCGTTTAAAGTGAGACGAAGCCCAAAATAACCAAAAGGCACCGACCTTGTAGAGATGTCTGCACGTCCACGTCAGGTGTCCCTGGCTGTACGATGTGAATTTAAAGCTTCGTTAGTGAGAAAAGTCCCTTTTAAGTGACTTTCAGGTACATAGGGAGGACGTAACTAGCGGGTCTGCAATGCTTTTGGAATATGACTCTGTACTCGTTGCAGAGCATAGTGCAAGAAATAATTTTGTTCTACTGTACTTCTGTGCTCCCAGCCTTGATTAGCCTGTACGGACCAGCACGTTGAAGTATGGTCAAATAACCCCGAAGGGTTAAACGTCATGGGAAAGGGGACACCCTTTTCCGGCAGTGGATTGACCGGGCGCTGTGCATGTGCTCACTCATTGGGTCTTTGCGATGCCACGTACCTTTTGACGACTTCTCCCGCTTACATCTGCACAGTTTAACCGACTAAAGTTTAACGTTCGTAAAACCAATCGATCGATGTTGTATTTGTTACACGCAAAGTCACATTTAGCCAGTTACCCAGCCTGAGTTTGCAAGGGAGATCTGTGGTGCATCGGAACAGAACAAAAACGGCAACATCAAAGCGATACGATTCGACAATGGGCTTCCTTCGCTCGAGGTTTGCGGATTTGAGTGGATGTCGCGAGTGAATGTGTGCCGTTCATAGTGCAGCCACCTGTAGGGTTATTCTGCAATCAAAGAGTCCGATTGTATTTATGTTACAATGAGGCTAACGTGGTGGGGTATCTTTACAATATATATGTGCGGGGTTATCAACGTTTTTAGAGTATGCGCCTCAATTGTTGATAACACTGCCGTACAATGCACGACTGCAGAGGAGAGTTACTCCAGCTGCTTGATATGATTGCCAGTCTTGTCGATGATTCGATCGATTTTTTGTGATTGTGAGCCGTAATTGAAATCACAATATACCCTCGCGAACAACATCAAGAATAATGTTATTCTGAAAGCAAGATGAACCCTTGAAGATTTGCATTTCATCTACAAAGGAAGGGGGGTGGGTCCTGGCAAACGTATGCATGTTTCAAAGAATATTTGTATAGTACAGTCCACACAAGGCCGGGCTACGAGCTTGCGCTATTTATTGTTCCACTACAACCGACCAACAAAGAGTGTCTAATTTTTAAGTGCCAACTTCAGGAGAGTGCTCAATATAGTTGAACCCCTGCTCAACGTTAGTTGAGCACCGGTGTGCTTTCGGCTTGTACCGCATGCTGTAACCCCACGTTGTCCGCTCTGACACCCAACGTATCGCTTCACGCGCTGTTCGGTGCCTGGAGTAGCTCCCATCACGTGGAGCGAAACGTCGGACGTCGTGCCAAACGCCACGTGATCCGACCCGAAAACACACGAGAGAGCTGAATGTAGTCGATGTAGAGCTAAAGCTGCACGGACTAGAATTATTCCCTACGGAGATTAGAGTACTTTGAGCGGGGATTCTTCAAGTGTAATTCCTTGCGATATGCCGCACAGGTTCGGCCTTGTGGGTCCACGCAGATATGGATTGACGACGACGACGTGACGCACCACTACAGAGTGACTGTCACGATGTGGTACAGCAAGTTGGGGGTTCGTATCTCTGTTGTGACGTGTTAGAGTGCTGTGATCATCGCACGTGTGCGCTGGTTTCCTCCAGACACACCGTGGCTGTTGTCGCACGCAAAACAACAAAATCCCATTCGGGCCACTTGGTGAGAGGAGGGTACATTATAAAACGCGTACAGTGCTCTGGAGCGAACCGCACAGAAGCTGTGCTCATTTGTTAGCTAGAAGTGGGTGAGCTCAATGTTTTGCGAAGCCATTGGCGGCCCGCTCTGGCTCCCACGCACGCGCTCACGCTCATTGATCAGCCTTTGTTTCCCTCCTCCTCCCCCGCACCTTCATTTCTCCCTCCCGTTCATGTGAAGTCTCCCCCCCGCCCGCGGTAATTAGCACGGTTGGCTACGTACGGTGCGAAAGAAGTTCAACATGCGTACGCACGTGCTTATCAGTGTCGGATTAACTGCAAAATACGCCAATGCACGGGGAGTTTTAGTCCTTGAAGAAATAAGCTGACCGTAGCACTACAATTAAGACATTGTTCACATTCGGCGGCAGTGGCATCTCCAGAACACCATTTTTTCTTCTTTTGCTGTCGAAGCAGCTTAAATCCTAGGCAGTTGCAGAAGCTTAATTGTCATCCTCTAATTATAAACCAAGTAGTGTTGTGTATTCCTTCAGTCCGGCCTGGCATGAATGAGGTGCATTGGCAAAGTCCCGTAGTGCCATAGTGAATCGGATATTGGCCCAACCATTTTACACTATTTCCCAGATGGCATGGTTTAAATTGAATGCTAGACTCGGATCGAAATCAGAATCAGAAATCTTTATTTATCCTGGAGGAATCCGATGAGCCTATGAAGCAGTTTTTTTTACAGATGTGCAGATGCAATGTACCCCAGAGATATTCACACATCCGATTAGCAGGGTTGGCTCTGTACGGTGCAAAGCATGTTCAACATACATACAAACTTATTCCGTGTCATACTAAACCAATGGGTTCCGTCATACAAATATGGCGATCTTTTCTTTCAATTACATGTGCGCACACTGAGCTTAATTGGCCTGATTGGCTCAATGTGGTTGCCAACATGAATGCTATCTTGCCAACTCCCACAATGCACTGCGTATCTTGTTGTTGTCATCGTGCCGGGTCCCACAATGCACCACTTATGATCGTGTTCTATGAAATGCAGTCGCGCCGCAGTTTTGACAGCACTCCTAAGAGTCGCTTAACTTCCTTTGTGGGACATTCTGAGATGACACAGCCTCGGGGGATGCAGCTACAGAATAAGAGCTGCTTGGCTTTTGGGAGTTGTCTTCCTTTAATCAGTCATAACTTTAAAGTAAGAAGTGCAGTCCAAATGTGTTTTGCTTGGCAAACATTGTGTTGCGTTGAAAAAGCCCTTAGCATAGTTTAGGGCAGTGATTTTAAAGTATATATTTGTAGAGTGTTTACTTTGTAAGTAGAGGGGTGAAGCGATACACCGATTAATTTATTAAATTAACGCTTAGGTTTTCGCAGCCAATATTACGATTCGTAGTTATATTTTTTTGATTGAAGCCACGTCATGATCTGGCCAAATTTCTGTCCTGAGATGCTGCATCACCCAACATTAAAATAAAAATTCCACATCGTGTACAACAATTTCAACGTGCCAGTAATTTGAAGACGATGCACCAAATTTTGTATCTTAATTGCTACCACCAAAAATGTACTTACACCACATAAGGAATAAGTAACATTTAGGTGCATCGTTCGAAACACCTTCCAGGCCCATGTCTTCCAGCAGCATTTGTTTTTGCAGAAAAAACCCCCTGCCACTGAGTTTCGACTTTCGTGGCTTCACCAGCAGAGTACGGCCTATTTAAACAAATTCCGCCGGTGATACTCTTTGTACGTACGTTGAACTTTTGCACCATACGTAGCCAACTGCGCTATATCGGAGGTGCACGACGGTAACCCGTTTGTCTGTCACCGCCGTTGTGTTTTTCTCACGCAGGATGATCCGCAATATGCCCATCGAGTCTCCGCGGGAGCTCTTCATGAGGGTCGCCATACAGATCTTTGCCGACGGAACCTTCAACTGGGGCCGCGTCGTTGCCCTCTTCTACTTTGCCTATCGCCTTGTGATGAAGGTACGTCCCTGGGGGAACACACACGCACGCTACCAGACCCTTTGGCTCGATGGTAAACTACAATAATAAACATTCTTTTTTTTTTTACTAGGTAAAGGCCCGCTGAGTTATATATAGCTTTTTTTCAGAAGTGACCTGGCCACAAATTATAGCTCAATGAAGTGGCAGATGTGCAAATGTATAGCAGCAGCGAAATACTCTAAACACATACTCTTTGGTTCTTTCGGTAAAGTCACGTAGGTAGAAAAACAGTTTTTCTTTCCGTGGTTGTCCTACCTGATGACGATTGCTTGTGTTGCGATCGAAACGTCGTGATCTATTATTTTTCTACTTACGTGACTTAACCGAAAGAACCAAAGAGTATGGATTCCTGCGGTCACGAAAGCTTCAAATCAAGACTCTAAATACATGTTTCTACATGTGGAGGGAAAACTGAAGGAACCGGAGAAAAATCTACGCGATCATGGGGAGAACATGCAAACTCCAAATATACCAGCGTCAGGGTTTGGATCGAAGCCACGACCTACTGTATGCTAGGCAAGGTAGTGAACATCTTGTCACTTTAATGATGATAATCCACAGCCCTTTGTCCGTCTACGACTGGACAAAAGCCGTCTCTTGCAGTGTCGGTTGTAGCAGCTGTTTGACCGTACTTTACCGCGCTGGTCAGTGCAGGGGTGGCGAGGGGAAGGCTGAGATAGGGTCTCTCGTGGTCTCATCGTCGATACAACAATCCACCGAGCTCCCTACATGCAAGCTGATTTCATCGCTCCATCTCCACTGTGGGTGCTCTCTCGGGCAGGTTTCTGCTAGCATACAGTAGAAGCTGGATTTAAGCACAGCTGTCATATTAGCAACCACATGCTTAGATTACACTGGGCAACTTCTGCTACAAGCACATGGCTGTGGATGTCATCACAGCTGGCCTTGCTCCTAACGGGTATGCTTCTATCCGGCCTCTGCTATATATGATTAGGAACAAAATGTATTCTTGCGTGCATGACTTGTTTCATCATGAGTGTGAGAATTTATTGAAATCAAAGATGCATTGTGCCTAATAGAGAACCGTTTGTAATTCCAAATAACCATTTTCAGGCTCCAGTATTTATTCACGTTTGTCCTGTTTGCATTGTCTCCATTTCATTGTCTGTCTCCTTCGTTCTGGGTTGTTTATTCTGTCTGCATCGTTAGGTTAGCCTAAAGGTGACATTTGCATGCAATTTGCACTGGACCCGCCTATAGATTCAGTGCATCTACTGTGAGCATAATAGAGGACTTTAATCAATGCAACATTTCAACACGTTCCTTCGGAGTGGGCAGGTAGGAACTTGGTTGGACAGCGCATTCGTGCGATCCGTGTCACGCGGCGCAAGCTGCGTGGGGCGGCGCGTCACGTGGTGCTGATCCCGCCCGAAGCGCTCTATGAAATACAAATGGAGGGCGTGGCTATGCACGACAGACAGACAAATAATCCCTGGTGGGCAGTGTGGAACTGTTGTTCCCACCTGTATTATTTACATCGTCAGTCATAGACACCGTCAGTCATGGACACAAGGGGAGAGGGAGATCTTGGCTTTGACACGGCCCAGCGTCTGTGCGTTCGCCACTTGTAGCAGAGGTTCACTATTCGAATCCGGTGGCCGCCCTGGTCATATTTGCAGGTGTAGCACCCGTAATAATTCACGCCGTCTACCTCACAGCGGACGCTAAAGACCTCCTGACGTCATTTGCAAGAGTAGGCCATTGTTTTGCCAGCGTTAGGGATCGAATTTTCCAAATTCTAATATTTCCCACTAATTACTCAATTGGAATTATCCATAGCAATGATTGCTCCCTAATGGCAGACCAAATGCCCCAGGTCACAATTATACTATCCTGGTCTCCGTGGGTTCTCACCTGCTTTTAAACAAAATGAACTGCAAACTGACCAGGGGAATTATCTCAACAGTATTAATTTCCAGAGGTAAAGGAATTCCGGAAAAAGGTGGCAAACGGCAGAGAAAGAGTGATTTTTCCATCGGGCAAGGATTGAAGTGGGGATTTGACACGGGACCTCGATTGCTGCAGCACAGAGCTCCGTCGAAGGCTTGGTGCGAGATGAGAGGGGGGGAGAGAGGTAGGCAGAGATGAGCTCACGGAGAATCTTGACTTAAACGGGCGAGTGCATTCTTGAGGTTAATCCATGGCTGGCCTGGGACTCGGCGGAATAATCTAACTATTTGGGTGACTTGATCTCGTTTGCTGGTGAGGACTCTTGTGGAGTTCGTTGTGTGTGTGGGGGTGATCCGGGGAGGTCGTCGGGGGTCACGTGCGCGCACGTGTGCGTGCGTGCTTGCGAGCATGCGTCACACCTTCGTCACACCTTCGTCCTTTGTCTAATGCCTGCGCCTGTTGTTTGTTGATTTGTGCCCAGTTGCCGAGCTTCTTTGTGGCACAGGCCTTAAGAGAGCGAAGCACCGTGACACTGATTATTAGAGTGGATGAGGGAGGGGGGGGACCGCTGCTTGTGTTGAGTCAGCGGTGAATACATTTACAAACCGCAGCGGCGCGGCCAGAGCAACGCTTCACTTCCCGAAAAAAAGCAAAGGCTTTTGCAGGCAGGAGAATGTTTTCTTACATGCTTGTTTTATGAGCTTTCATTTTGCTCCGTGTTATCCCCCACCTGTGCTCGTTGTCACCTGATACTGCACAACGCAGGGCAGAGTCTGGGAGTCTCGCCTACCTCCACCTAACCCCGTCTACCCCTCCCCCCACCCACGCACCTACCCCAACTTTGCCGGGCATACATTGCAATTGTTTTGTTTCCAGCTTTGTGCAATCATGTTCCAGTACAACATTGGCCATGCACCTGCTTGTCTGGTTTTAAGTCAGCACTTTACGACGTGGCCTGGAAGTGCCCTGGGACTTGTTGGTACTGCCCTGGCTGCCCTGGCTGCCCTGGCTGTCTGTGGGGTTTGTCGTCATTATCACCATTGTCGTCGTTGTTGTTGTTGTTGTTGTGTCGCCAGCGTTGCTCCTTCTCCCCTCTCCCGTGTCTCCCCGCACTGAACACCTCCCGCCGCACCCCCTTTTGTTTTCTTAATTTTTAAGAAACGTCTTGAGGTGCAATTGTGACTCATGTAGTTGTTGTGACTCGTTGACAGGTATGTAATGATTCAATTTTGAGAAATAATTTGGTGAGACAGGCCGTTGGCAGTGGTCCATGGCCACAAATAGCCCAAAACAACAACCAAAACTCTACATTTACGTCAATAACACCGCCATACAAAAGAAAAGGTATATAATAGGTAATGTTACGGGCGATGGCCCTCCACAGCACAGAGAGAGAGAGAGGGGGCAGAGCGTTCGATGCAGGAGCGGAAGAGGCAGGTTTAGGAAGCTGACTGCAAGTCAGTTTTGATCGTTTTAGGTCTCATCAGCAGCAAGCGCAGTGCGTTTGCCACACGTTATTGGCAGGAACACTGCGTCTCTATAGTCTTGTCAGCACGACAAGTTGTAGCATATAAAAACTTCATTTTGCACTGCGTGACGTTCTACTGTATAACATAAGACTGGAAGACCCCTGGGCCGATGGACTGAATGTTTTATTTTATTTGTTTGTGTCTATTTTTAATTAAGTCGATTTCATTTGACGCAATTCTCTACAGTGGCATAATAATGATTTTTAATGCGACATTGGTCTGTGCTGACAAGGTCCGCATTGTTGAGATGCAGTGCTCTCGGCAATAACATCTGGCAACCCTGCAGCATTTTTTGTTCAGGCATGACTGTTGACGAGACCCAGGCGGTCATGCCCGGTCCAGAGTTTTACTTAGTTAAAATAATCAAACAAATGTTGCCCGATAATATTATTCTCACTGCTGCCCATGATGTTGATGAACTTTGTGGACAATTGACAAAGTCTGTTAATTTATTATAACAAAGATCCCACTTAGAGCCTTAACAGACATTGGGGCAAGTGCTGTTTGTGAGCACCTAATGAAGGCTGGCATGGGGAGGGTGGCCAGCACCACGCCCGGCCATATTTGTCTCCTTAGTGGCGATGTTTAAACACTGCACCAGGTACTCATTTGTGGCCAAGTCGACCTTGGGGAGACCAAGGACCTGTTCAGATAATCGTTCCTGGTGTTGGCCACGAACAGTAATTAAACTCGGGTCACGGGGTTCGTTTTCGAACCCGGCGACCCGAATGGAGCCGCGAGCTGCTGCTGCTGCTGTGTGAGTCATCCCCACCTCCGCTGTGTGAGTGATGCCACCGCTGTGGCCTTACACCACAACGGTTTAGAGGGATTGGCCTTGTACGATGAAATGTTCACACTGCCGAGCGTGTACCCTGTGCGCGTGTTTGCATAACTCTATCAACGTCTCTCAAACTGCGGTCTAATTCTTTCGTAATAAATAATACCGGGATGGTGGTCGCTTGCGGAGGCCTTTATCCAGCAGGGGATTGATCATGATCAGTGGTGCTTAACTTTGTTGAGACTTTGAAGTGTTTCATGTAAAATGTTTTCTCCCTCGCCTGGTAACCAGCAGGTCGTGGGTTTGATCCCGACCCCTGATGCTTGTTGTATATTTGGAGTTGGCATTTTTGAAGTTGGCGTATTCTTTCTCTCCGTGGTGGTCGCGTGGATTTTTCTCCGGGTCCTCTGGTTTTTCCCTCCACACGTAGAAAACATACGTTGAGATTATTAGACTATTACTTTAAATTCCCAAATATGGTGATAAGCCTCTTCGATGAACTGTTATGTGTGATCAGGTCACCCCTGAAAAAGAGCTAATAGCTCAGTGGGCTTTGCCAGGTTAAATAAAATAGTTTAGTTTTTAGTTTAAAGACCTGTGTCACATGTAGGCGCTGTATTAATCCCAACACTAACCATATTGTATCGTATAGCCCTTCCCTACTTCTACCCTCATCGCACTCTACTCCCCTCTGTGCACTCTCCGCTTCAGCGGCAGCAGCAGCCAAAGCTTCCTGTCGAAGCCTCTCGTCAACCCTCAATGGGAAGTCGCTTATTCTCTCTCTCTCTATTAAACAAGTATTCCCGCTGTAATGGCATTTTGAGATGGAGTCGCATTTCTACGCGGTATATAAATCCACATTGCACGCCAGCAAAGGTCACAGTGCGTGTGGGAGAGGCGTCCAAGCGTCTGCTGCGAGCGTTTACCCGCAGGTGTGAGTGGAGCCTTTGGCCCGCCGCTGCTGCCGCTGCGTGAGTCATCCCCGCCTCCCTGTGGGGGCGCTGCGTCCTGTCGCTCTGGCGCCCTTGAGAGCAGAGCGTCGTTGGGTCTTGCTGCGCACTTGAGCAGCACTGGGCTGCCGTTTGCAGCCAGGAGCGTGTTTTGCTGCCGAGGTGTCGCGCTGCTGTAACTCGGTCGCGCTGGCCGGTTTCACTTTGGCGATCACGTGACAGATTTAATCTGTTTGACTTGTTCTGATTGAGTGAGTGTGGTTGATTCGAATGAAAGTCGTTTATAGGATGGATCTTCATGCATGTGTGCTTCCAATTTTTTTTTATCCTACTTGCTAACAGGATAAACATTGGTTACTTTCTTTTTATTTCGTCACGTTTTTTGTTTGAACAAGGTAAGGGGGTTCTATTTGAATCACAGCCTCGTGCAGAAGGAAGCGATGGCGAAGTGTGGTGGCATCGGCGGTATTAGCCGTGACGACCTCTGACCCTTGCCAATTTTCCTACAGTGCAGCTGTTTTGACTTCAGTGAACATTATTATTTTTTAACACCACATAGGTTCTGAATCCAGGGCGTATGATCATGATTGCTTGCTTGGCTGCAAATCACGAGATTGTATTCTGTCAAAGTAGTGCCGCCTGGTTTGTGTTTCTCCCCTGAGCAGGGTGGGGACTGCTCCTTTCTGTGGCTTCAGCCTGACCTTCTGCCCTCTGCCGTGTGTCTGTTCTCCTGTGTGTGTACATCGTGCTGTCTGCTGCGTACAGCTCTCGCAGTCTCGAGGGGGGTCTGCTGCAGTGGGACGATTCACCCCCGTGCCTACTCAATTTAAGCGTCGTGCTTTTGACATCGCTGTGAATGGTTCTGCCTCCAGTGGCTGCAGGGCTGATGCAAACCCATTGCATGCTCTCAGAGACTCGGTCACAATTTAGACGCGGTAAAAATACAAATCGTTGATTGTAATTGCAACACAAACGAAACGAAAAACGTCCATTCTTACGCACTCCCGATGCGCGTATCGTGCGCTTGAAAATCGGAATTAATCGATGATGCGAAGCATCCTCCCCCCACATTCTTCTCTGCCTTCTCGGTGGCGGCGGTATCAACTCGTGAGGTTCATGAGATCAGTAACGATGGCCTTTCGCTTGCAGCTACTTTGTCCCGCACCGCCGCCCCGCAAACCCCCCCCCCCCCCCTAACTGTGCAGTGGCGAAACTCACACCGGTCCAGTGTTGTGCGACCTTTGAGGCAGCGTTAGTCATTCCGCAGGCTCGTAGGAGGCCGCTTGTGGTCAGCTTGAGGTGTTTGCTTTTGCCCCCTTTGCCGAGCCCGTCATCCGAACAAAGACCTCGGAATTGCTTCGGCCAGCTGTATTAGCGTTTGCCCGCGGGCTGGGCCGCTCTCAATGTGACGCATTCTAATTCCTCCCCCTGTTTGTGTCGGAGTGCTTCACTCGTCAATGCGTTGTCAATACTGCTACATGGGGAGGTGTTAGGGAGGGGGGGGGGGTGAGCGATATCTGAGCCCGGTCCCCACCCACCCACTTCAGCAACTCACACGGATGACCGGCACGGTGAAGTATGGTTTAAAGCAACATTCATCACTGACGAGGCGTGGTGTGGAGGGGGTGGATGCCTACATCCAGAAGCGTGTGGTGGGGGAAAAAACAAACGCACCCGTTGGGCACGAGTTCTAACGAACGCTTGGCAGCGCACCGGTGTTTGCAAGCGAAGGGGGTCGCGGCCAAGAGGGATTTTTTTCGAGCGGGCGGTGGCGTTGCGGTCGTTAATTCAAACGCGATGACTCACTGGCGCCCCCCCACCGCTACACCGGGCGGTCGGCGAGTAATGAAACTCGAGCGGTCTGCGTGCAGCAGACCTCGCCTGCCCCTCTACAGCCACACCATTGTCCACAGTAACATTTACCTACTGCAGTCCTTATTCAAGACGTGACTTCCGCACACCGCCCCCCCCACCCACCTCCCAAATGTGTACACGGCATGCACTCGTAAATATGGTTGAACTTATTTCGCACCGTATCTATTCGACCGTGATTATTGGAGGTGCGGGGGAAGGACAACAAAATAAAGCGGTTCTAAAGATATGAGTTTTAAATCTACTTGATTTAAAGTGCGAAGCTCCCAGTGGCTTCCGAATATCAGAAGGAAGAGTGTTCCAGACGGCCGCAGAAGCGTATCTGAAAGTGCTACACATTGACCGTCTTTATTCGATGCTTAGGGAAAAAGCCACTGCGAGGATGACTGGAGTTTCGCATGATGATGGTTTATGCCCCCTTGACAATATCCGCAAGGTATTAAGGTTAATTTTTGGCAAGCACTTTGTGTGTAATGAGTTTTTCTTACCAGCCAGTCAACAACAGATGCTCACAAAGCACTTTACTCTATTATTACGATGACTTTGTGTTTTGGGTTTTTTACATTTTAGTGTTGGCGGCATATTTTGACAGAGTTGGTATTATTGACCAATGTCTGTGTTTAATGTTGGCACTCATTGTTATGCTCTCATAAAAAAAATTTGTGTTTTGTTTCCTTCGCTTTTGTTCCTCAAACTGGGGGGGAGGTTGATTGTGCTCCCAATTATGTATTTAATATTTGTGTGTGCGTGGACATGTCACGTTTGTCTAGTGTGCATTTAATGTGTTTTGTCTTGTCATATGTTCTGTGTGTGCGTGTCGTGTGTGCATCAAATGCAAACAGTGCGTGTGCAGGCTTACTGGTTGTCAGTCCTCCGTATGTGTGAGTTTTGCGTGTGTTACGTGTGTGCCAACACGTGCGCTAATACGTGCGCTAACGTGTGCATGCGTGTGCTGTGCGTGTTGGCGTGTAGGCCTACAGTAGACAACTGCTGGACATTGTGAAGACGATCATCAGCTGGGCCGTTGACTTTATTCGCGAGAACGTTATTCAATGGATACGCGAACAGGGAGGATGGGTGAGTTGAGATGCGAGCTCGTGCACAAAGACAAAGATCCCCCGTTTTGCCTTAACAGACTGTTGGGGCAAGTGCTGTTAGCGACCACCTAAGAAGCCCGGCACGGCACACAAAGGGGTGGGTGGCCAACTCCACGCCCAGCCTGCCTTTGTCTTTCCCAGTGGCGATGTGTTACACACTGAGTCGACCTAGGGGAGTCCCATGACCGGTTCATATAATAGTCACTCGTATTGTGCTGTGAGCGAGAATCGAACTCCTACTCGGCCATTGAAGTCGCCCAACAAGATGACTCTATCCCGAGGGGCTACTTTAGCTTGCACCTGTGACAGGAGGTCATAGAAGGCATCTCTGACTCATCGGCCTTGCCTGCATCCCTCCACGGATGTTCGTCTTCGGTGGGGGCATAAGTAACCACGACCACCACTCCTCGCATCTGGTTGATGGGAAGGCGAGCCCAAAGTAGCCTGGGGCTTACTGCTTCCCACACCTCACTGCCACGCTCCCACGCCCCCTTCATAAATTTTTTCAGAAGAAGAGCCACTCCCTGTTGTTAGGCAGTTTCCTACCCCGAGTAGAGGACTGTCCACCCCTCATGGTGGCAGGAGCCAGAGCCGGTCCACCGAACCTCCTGAATACCAGAGATCCAGGCGGTACCGGTCCAGCTCCCGACAGAGGAGTGGCAGTCTCCTCCACAGTGAGCGTTCGGACATTCCACGTGGCCACCCGCAGTGGTTTTTTGTTGTTTCTGGAGGAGCTCCGAGGGTAAGGATTCAGTCTCCTGGCTCCGCCAAATGGGGTTTGGCCAGGAGACGTCATCGACGCCTGTCCCCCCTGGGCCTCCTGCAGAAGCTTAATTAAAGTTTTAATTTAGTGGTAATCAATTGAATGTGGAGGGGTTACCAGCCCCTCGCACCCGTCCAGAGCCCCAATTTGGCCGCTGTGGTGGTTACAAACGCCATGAGGGGAATGGCCAATCTAAATTGGCCCTCCCCCCACGGTAATGCTCACCACAGCGTTGCCGTCCGGCACCAATGAGGAGGTAGGGGGTTGTTTTTGCCGCTCTCCACACACGCATACTCACGCATAACGATGGCAACAACAGCAGCTGCCATTCGCCACCATTTGATGGCGACGCCACCACGGCGCTTGCGCCAGGCTAGACGCACTTCGAGGCCACTTGGAAGTGTCGACGGCTTGCTGAGCAGGAAGTCGCAGGATGGACATGGATTGTTATGGGTTTAAGGGACGAAGGCGACCGGCAGATGCACCAACCTCCGCTCCTCGCTGCGGCCACTTCCTGCGTTGTAACCACCCGACGCTCCGATCGTTGTCGTGAGCATTGCGTATACGCGCGCACACGTCGGAGGCCACATGGTGCGTCATTCCTGGAAGATGGCGTGCTTACGTGGAAGCATGCGCCCACGCTCATGAATTTTGTATAGATATATATCTTTGGCCAGGTCAATGTCTATTGTTACACATCTCGTTTTCAAGAGACACCTATAGGAATATAGGAAATTACAAGCAGGGAGACACAAATGCCAGGTTAGTTAGAGTCGTGGTGTACAGTTTAGTAACAGCCTTTATTTTACTTTTTTCACAAGCTCAGAACCCGTTGAAGCTACGAGTTTATTTTTCAATAAACAAATAACCAATTTAATATCATAAACCTGATATATCAATGACAATTACAATGTCAGCAAATGAAAGGACACAGAATAGGGTATATACATGTTAAAGGATGTACCAATTAACAGTAAAATTAATATTAGCTGTGGAATAGGGTAGTGAAGAGATTACGATTTTTATTTACACAGTTGCTGAGTGAAGGCCGAAAGGCCCAAAGCGTCGAGCAGCCAGCAACCAACAGCACTACCAAAACTGTACTGTACTATATAAGAGTTACAAGTTACGTGATATTATTTAAATGAATGAAACGATTACATCTGCGCTGATGAACGTTTTAAGTTTGACCGCATCAAGAAAAGACGGACACAGAAATCGGTTTACTTGCTCGCACTTTTAAACGTGGAGAAACATTCCTGAATGCACAAGTGACGGTGCTCTCTCTCTCACTCTCGCGTTCCTGCAGGAGGGCGTGCGGACATACTTCGGCACCCAGACCTGGCATTCGTTGACCATGTTCGCGGCCGGAGCGCTGGTGAGCGCCCTCGTCTTGTGGAGGATAAGATGAAAAACGCCTCCCCGACCGATCCCACCGCCACCTGTCGCGATTACACGACGGCGGCCGCCTTTGCGACGTTGTCGTCCTCCCGTCTTCTTCCCAGGGGTATCCTACCGTCTTCTTCGTCTTCTTCTGCGGGCGCTGTGGTGGCGAGATGTTAACTCCCTCGCCTGGTATGCAGGAAATCGTGGGTTCGATCCCGACCCCGACGCCTGCATGTTTGGAGTTTGCATGTTCTCCTCAGTGGTCACGTGGATTTTTCTCCGGGTCCTCTGGTTAATCCCTCCACATTTAGAAACGTGCTTTTAGAGCATTTGGCGGCTATAAATGTCCACACGATAAGCCACTCCATGGAGCTTTCATTTGTGGCCAGGTTGTTTCTGAAAAAGTGCTACATAGCTCAGTGGGCCTTGGCTGTTAAAATAAAAAAATGTTTAAATAGTTAAGTTTAGTATCCCGTCCCTGACCGTCCGCACCACTCTTTCGCCGGACAAGTCTTAACGCGTCCGCCGCCCCCCTCCCCCTCGCGTGTGTATCCGTGTGGTCACTGCTTTCCTGGGGCGTGAGCTCCTGACATCGGTGGATAGGCCCCGCTGGTGGTGATGGGAAGCGAAGTCAGTCTGTCGGTCAGTTTTGTCTTTCCGTCTCGTGCCGATGTTGAGTGAAGAAGAGTTCTTGTTGCTTGGCTCTACTGTAAGCCCAGACACTGTGAATTTAACCAACTTGATGGGGTTTTTTTGAAGGCGGCTGATGGAGTTGTTGACTTAACGTGATCATGTCGGATGACTTTGATTAGCAGGACTCACACCGGTAGCAAAAATTATAATTTTCATAGTCGTATAATGGCAGTAATTACAATAATAAAAGTCATATTTTTCTTTACTAATCAAACTTATTTTAAAACAGCCTAATTTTCGTAATTAGTGTCAGGTATAACACCTTTACAAACATCGACTATGTATTAACATTCATAGAGAGTAATGTGTTTATTTTAACGGACTAAGAACCAAATTTGTATTTTAACGGTTTACGGGAACTGTAGTAGAAAGTGTGCTTTTTACTAAACATTTTTTTAATGAACTAATCAGCGCTCGATCATGCCCTCGGCTTATAGATGCAGAGCAGCAGCGCAATTTAAATCGGGATGGAGCGGCATCGCAATTGGACGTCGTTACAAGCCTTGCCCTAACACCCCGTCGAGATCGCCCTTCTCATCACCAAATTGAGCATGGCGCGGCTCGGCCATTTGAGATGCGTGAGTGGTGTGAGTGATATGAGACTGTGTAGCAGTCAGCGCGCCACGCTACGAACATGAGGGCTGGAGTTCGATTTCCGCTCACGACCAAAAAACTATATTTTAACCGGTCCTAGGCCTGCCCTAGGATGGCTCGGCCTCAAATGAGTAGCTGGTTTGATACGTAAATGTCGCCACTAGGGAGACGAAGGCGGGGCATGGTGCTGGCCACCAACCCCCTCGTGCAGCGTGCCAGCCTTAAACAGGCGCTCGCTAACAGCACTTGCCCCGACTGTCTGTTAAGGCTAACACAGGGGATCTTTATCTTGGTGCTTGGGACTAACAACTAATAATAAACACAAACGTATGCAACTCTCTCTTTGCGTAGCCTTCAAGTGCCGGGGCTAAAACCGTTAAATGCTACAAATACGAACCTCTTTAATCTCAGGTGGGAGTGGGGGATTTTTTCTTATTTTTTGTTAACAAGAATTCAGTGATCGCCTCCCGAGCCTCTCTCGTGCAGCTCCGAGGGAAAATTTTTGTTTTACAATGAAAGCACAAAGACAACGGTGTTTGCGGTGGGAAGCTAGGGTTGCACGGTGCCGTGTGTGGAGACAGTGGTGGGGTGTGGGGGGGAGGTCACTGGAACAGACGGAGGGAGAAGGCGTGCAAGGAAGGGGGGGGGGGGCGGGAGATACGACTGACGGGTGTTAGGAACGTCTCAGGAAAATTAAGCGTTGAGCTAATTTTCACGCTCATCGTTTATTTTTTATGTATACCTTTAATCAATAATTTGTAACAAATGCATTTGAAGGTTTTAGTTGTTGTATCGTGTTTTCGCCGTGTTCACGTTGTTGTTACGTGCGCGTAACGGTGTGGTCCAGGGGTTTTAAGTTTAGCCACTTCTGTTCGGGTCGCTGACCCAGACAATATTTCTGTGCCCGACATACCACATCCAGTATACCTCTCAATATGGCTTGTGGCTACTAGTCACGCTTGTACAAGTCTTACCACCGAACCCAAAAAATATTGAGCCTGAAATTAAGCCCTGGTGTGGTGCCACTCTTCGGAACGATGCGCAGGAATCGTGCGAAAGCGCCTGGCGAATTTGTTTCAAAGCTAAAGGTGCATCTCTGCAGTGTCTTGCTCACGCCACTGCAGGCCGAATAAGGGCCTGCAAGCGAGGGAGCTCGGGAGAGCCCCTGGAGGCCAACTTGCCTGCTGACGAAATGTCTTGGAAGAAGGCGGTAGGATTAACCATTTTTTATTTATTGTATTGAGCTGCTGCAGATGTAACAACAGCAGCAGTAGCAGCAACAACAGAATCCGCCAACACACCACGATGGGGTCCGCAGTGGTGAAACTTTCTGGGCAGCAAGACAAAGGACAGACCTAGGTTATTATTGGTAAAGTGCTGGAAAGGGGGGTGACCATGGAATGAGACAAAGATGTTAGGTGTTATCATGGTAGGGAGGCTAAACCACAACGAATGCCTCTTTTGCATTCATCAGTGCCATCGCCCCCTGCATGTTAACGTTCCGACACTGCTCGCCGTGCGCGTCGCTCCCCCCGCCTCGTGTTCTTGTTGTTGTTATTGAGGCGATTACCAGCATGCTATTCCGTGCACTTAACAAAAGTACGAAACTCCAAATTGGGCGATTCGGAGATTCTGGGTAAGCGCCTATTGGGAGTTGGATAAATGTTATCGGAGCCGAGCCAAGGAGCATTTCGAGACTTGTGTCGTTAGGGCGGTTGTGTATTTACCACTTGATGACACAAGCTGAAGTGAATGACGTTGATGCCCGCACAGCATCATGGATAGTCCCACAATGCCACATGAGCCTTGCGGAGGGCATCGGGTTCACAGAGAGCAGCCCGATTGCTATCCCACCAACATCGAATGTGTGCACGTGTTTAACATGAATGGTCGATGAGGTTAATGCCAACTTTGTACCGGTTTCACGCTTATTAGAGATCATCGGTTCGACTGATGATGTCTTTGGAGAGCTGAATGGAGTTCAAAATAACTCGCAAACAAATACCTTGTGAAAGACCAAATGCAGAAGATCCCTGGGTTTGATATTCCGCGAAGCTCATGGTCCGCCATAAATCGCATCCGCACAAACCATTGTAGATGCGGATACCTGATGCACGAATGGAAACTGTGGTCATCCAGAACAGACCGTACAACATGTAATAACGCAATGGCCGATCCACAAATACAAAGGAGACATCGCAGCGATACCCGTGCACTCCGCTGCTTCTGGAGCGGTTATCTGGCTTGACCACCTGAATGTGAGCTTGTAGTTGTTGCTCTGCATCGACATCAGGCATACGAAAGAAGAAGATGACTTCAACATAGCACTGCGTCTGTAATTAGCAGTTTTCTCGTGGTTTCACACCTTGTTAGGGACCGTAGCCGTGTTAAGACTCGTTTGACCAGTGCAACACAAGCACACTGTGCCAGGATAATCAACAGTTCGGCGTCCCCCTGCCAACATCCGCTAGCTCCGCCTTTGTCGACACAAAACAGCCATCTCCACCAACCTGTTGCTACAGATCGGCTTATGAACGCCATCTGTCGGACCTGCGAAGCAATGTGGGTTTTCCTCCATAATGCTGTGTGTTTAATTATTATGTTTTCACCTTTGCGTGTTTACTACTGTGAGGTTTTTGTCTTGGCTTGCGATACAACACTTTTCTTTTAAGTCGATAGGATGGAAGAAATTGAACGTTTACAGAAAAGGATGTGCCGGTGGTGTTTTTAGTGTGTTGTTACAGTGGAACAACGAATTGCCTCCTGGTTGTTGAGCCATGTGCTTGGTGAAGGTGTCAGGGGCAGCACGGATTTAAGAGCCGCGTTAGTGTGCCTGGCTGGCAGCCACCTTTGCTCAGTCTTTTTATTGTTGTAAACTTATAGCGCCTCCAGTGTTGAAATGTATTTTCCCACCATCGTCATCCCCAATTACTGAGTTACAGACATCATCGTCGTCGTCATCGTCGTCATCATCATCGGTAAACTGAACAATTTCCTGCTGCGTTCCCATGACCACCGACTGATTTCTTGTCCCAGCGCCACATGAGCTGTCCAGCTGCATATGGACTCGACCTGTCCCGCTCCATCTCCCCACCCAATCACACTCCCTCCCCACACCGTCACCTCCGCCCACCCTGTCCTCTACCCTCCATCGCTGGTGGGGAAACAATCTAAAAAAAAAAACATTTACCGTACGCTTTGGGTTGGGTGACATCATCCCAAAAAAGATGTGATATGTTATAATAAAAATGTTTTGCCACCGTTGAGTTGAACTATGCGAATGATGCCACTGACCACTCGTGCCATTACAGCGTTCAGCCCGCGGCATCACGACGCGTTTCGTGTGCCGCCTGGTAAACCGGCCAGGTTTATCAGCTCGTTGGTGCCGAATCTGGGCTGAGTGAGCCCACTGGCCCGGTCCACGTACGTGGGCCAGCTCGCTTCCCCCCCCTGGTCATGGGAACACGGTGGCGAGATGTTAACTACCTCGCCTGGTATGCAGGAGGTCATGGGTTCGATCCCCACCCTGATGCCTGTATATTTGGAGTTTTCATGTTCTCCCCTGTGGTTGCGTGGATTTTTATCCAGGTCCTCCCGGTTTTTCCCTCCACATTTAGAAACGTGCGTTTAGAACATTTGGCTGCTATAAATTTCCACATTATAAGCTACTTCGTTGAGCTATAATCTGTGGCCAGGTCGCTTCTGAAAAAGAGCAATATATACCTCAGTGGGTCTCACCTGGTCAAATAAAAAAAATAGTTTGTTTAGTTTACGGCAGCATTGACCCTGTTTGGCAGTGGTTTTTGCTTCGGGGTGAATAATGGCCATTCTGCGTTAAAATAGGGAAGTTGTCTGAAACATCAGACGATGCGTTGCATCCCAGTTTGTGAGGAATGCCAGTTAACAACAGCGGTTGGCAATGTGTTTTCAGTCAATATTTGTCGCTGAATGAAAGAGTGAATCCGTAGACAGCAAAGGTACGTTTCACCGCCAAACGATAACGTTTAGGTCCGTCAACAAATAGGCTTCCTCGACCACAATGTGTTCCCACCTACATTGGCTTGAGCTGCTAAATATCAAAATGTTGGGGAACAAATGAAATAAATACACGATCGATGTATTTCAAAGAAACCTATAGATAAGTATGTTCATTTGTGAAGCATCGTTAATTTGTCACGCTTTTAAGACAATGATTGCAAAGCACTCCCCCCGCGTATCGACCGTCTGCTTTCACCGCCAGTGAGTGCGGTCGACACTTTATGGAAGTGGGCTAGCGCAAGAGGCGTTCCAGTCGCTCGATGTTTCGGTGGACGGTTAAGGGACGAGGCTGAACAACTCCACCGATTCGAATAAAAAACATTTGTCCGGAATAAGCCAAGTTGACTTGAACTATTTCCCACGACGGAATGGTAATCCATCCACTGCCGCTGGTGCCATGCGATGGTTATTGATTTACACGGCGTGTTTGCACCTCCATCCAAATTATAATCGTTTGGTAGAATCCGTCATGTGTGGCTTATTTCTGATTAAAATTGAGTCCAAATGTATTTTCTTCGTACAAAAGTTTTGGTTTATTACATGCACACTTTTAGCCGCCCTATAAATTTCCCGAACAACTTTTATGCAAATAAAACGTAAATCATTGGTGACGCGGTAAATACAACAATACCTTCATGAAATATACGGAACTAACGTTTCAGTTTGCGTTGGGCAATGACTTAACCGCAGTACGCAGCACGTGCTTCGTCGTTGATGATTCTTTAAAACCTCTAAAGATCCAAAACAGTAAGGCCACTGCGATCGTGGACTAACACATTTTCAAAATATTGTGCGCTATTAAGATACTCGCATTAATAAATTACTTACTTTTTAATTGAAGGCCATTTAGATAACACGCCTCATTTTCAAGTATTGCCCTTCGCCAGTGCATCGGCAATAGTAAAATAAAATGACTGTCTTATTTGCGCGGACAAGTAAAGGATATCAAAGCAACTTAATGTAGAGCAAGGCTACATTTTTTTACACGACGTTTTCGCAATACAAATGTTGAAACAACTTGATTGCCATTCTCACCAGTTCCCCATTCCAGGCCTCGCAGTGCATTGCTTAATCAATTGTTAAACTTGTATCTTTTTTACGTAAATCTCGCTGACCCTAATTCAACAAATGCTCACAAAACATCAAATTGCTGTTTCCTTTAAAAAAAAATACCTACGTCACAAATATCTAAAATGAAATCCATAGCAATTGTGTCTACCACTGCTGGATGAAGGCCTCCCTCATGCCATCACCATCCCTCACGATCTCAAGTGCTGTTACCGTCCATCCCACTGCTACAGAACGAGCTGCTCCCATCACTCCATCTCCCCCGGTGGTCGACCCCTCGGATGTGTTCTTTCCTTTGCAATTCCGCCACCCGTCTTATCCGTTAGCCATCATCCCACCTGGCAATGCGTCCTGCCCAAGCCCATTCACGTTTCTCATTTGCCCGTACGGCGTCTACGACGTTGTGTTTGGTGTATTGCGATGGTATTAAGTTTGTAAGACATCCTCGTTCAAAAGTGTGGCTGCCAGCTGCTCACGCCATGTGCTTGAGTGCAGGCCACCGTGGACACAGTGTTAATTGTGATGTGCAATGAGTGTTTGTGTTTTAAAGCAGTGAAGTCCGTGTACTATGAACTGTGTTAAGGCTCGGGGGTAGGGAGGGGAGGGAAGTTTGGGGGGATAGTTTCGGGGGTGAAGAGCCGTCCATTCGGAATTCTCAGAACAGGGGTTGTCAAACGTGCGGGGCCTGCTGGCCTCATTAGAAGTGTGGGGTGGATGACACACCGACAGGTCCACACAGACAGGTTCATGAACCCACTTGCTGTACTCCCTTCCAGCCTCCTCTTAGTGCAACAGGTTTGGGGGTTTAACCGATTGCACGATCCACCCTCATTCAACACGCGTAGTCAGCGAAGGACCGTTGCGCCAAACGTGTGACCTCGTGCGACAGCATTCGCATCAACTGCTCTTGCTGCCATACCAGTGTCTCGAGTAATTTGTTTGATCCACATTAATCCATCTACTGCCGTTGGGCATTTTTCTCTGGGTACTCCGCTTTCCTCCCTGCGTGCCAAAACCTTAATAAGCATTCGGTCAAACACAGCGCTGAAAAATAATATTGAGACTGATGCTGTCCTTGATGCATAGAGTACATTATTATCATTCTGCGAATATGCCATCAATGGCCCAAAGCATCTTGAGTTTGGGTTGCATGTAGATGCTTCATGAATCCAAATTATAAATTAATCGTTGCTTAAACTGGAAAAGTGTTCTTTGTAATTCTTCGTGCTTCTGGCTGGAGATGGCTCCTCTGAGGAGTAAATGTGGAAGAGATTAACTGATGCGAACTGTGAATGGTGAAATCTCTTTGAGGCCATATAATGAGGCTCTACAATGTTCATATATTGGTTAATGTGGCACGCAGATCAATATGACTTTGACACCCCTGTTTTACAAGCGCACAGTAGCTGCGAGCGAACTCGATTAACCGTGGGCAGATTATCCTTGTTGCAGATGACCTTGCTTACAAGTAATTAAAATACACTTTTATGGTCATTCTGGTCCAAATACCAGCTGCTCCTCATCGAGGGTCTGCGGATTCGGAGCGCACGCGACCCGCAGACGTGTCGGAAAGTAAAACCGATTGCTTTCAAAAGCACAACGAAAACAGACTATATACATATTCACCCCCCAATCTACTTGGGTAAACATGAAATACTTTGAATTCGCTTCACTTACACGCGCCGATTCTGCGCCGTGCGTACGTCAATCCTGCACCGATTCTGCACCGTACGTGCGCCGATCCTGTGCCGTACATGCCCTGATCTTGCGCCGTACGTGCGCCAGTCCCGCACGGCGACACAGGTTTGATCCAGTGCTTTGTGGGGCAGGGTTGGTGTATCGCACGGAGATTGTCCTTGTGCCTGAGGCAGTCCACGCACGGCGCCCGATCGGAAGAGGTGGCTGTAGAAAGCAGTGCAATAAGTCGCTGGCCTGTCTGTACGGAACTTTTTACTATTTTCACTTCCCCGACTTTGCTGGGTGTTCCAAAGTTTCTCGTATTGGAAGGAAAAAAAAGGAAAGGTTTTGGCTAAACTTCGACAGTAGGACCCACCAGAAATTCTTAAGAATCTCTGCGGCTTTTATTGCTACAAGAGCGTTATTATTTGTCTGATTCCATAACACTTTACCCAACTTTTAGCAATTGATGAAATCATCAGCCAGACACATGCCATTCCGCTACGTGTGGTATGGTTGAACGTCTCTCCTTCCTGGCGAGACAATGAACCGTCATGATTATGATTCAGGGTCGTCGATTCGGCTTAAAATATATTCTCTTTTTTATAACATTATGGTGAAGGATAGTGCCTTCTGTGGTGTCATGAACTCATTTACGTACATCAACGCGATTCAAAACACATCGATTCCTACGCACGTGATTGCATGCATGTGTGTACATCTTGGCCATCAGGATCGATATTAATCTGTGAGTCGATGCATTGTTCTATCCATAATTCTTAAACTTTGCCCAATGCAAGATCTGGTTCATCTGCTTCCCGCTGTCTTGTATCTGTAATGACTTCACACGGCGTTAATTCCAGTGGGCCTCTTTTGCCCGGTGTGGCATCCTTCCATGTACAGCACTGTTTGTAACGAATGTGAACCTCTTCCTATGTTTAATATAGACAGGCGAGTGGCATTGTGATCAGAGTGTGAAACTAGTATTCGGAAGACTGCGGGTTTAAATAATGGTCGGACTTGGCTCATCATCCATCCTTCTGTAGCGATTTAAAATGAGTGCAACCGCTTTGTGGAAAGCTAACAGTGGTTGTCATATAAAGGAAAACTTGGCTCTGCCATAGGAATGTGGAATTTCCTTACTCGTTTTAACGGGAAACCGCTTGATTTGATATAAGTTTTAGAAAGGCTGCTGGGCGATTGTAGAATGATCATAAAAGACAAATCCCACATTCACCCACCCACTCCCACACCCACGTCTCAATTGTTATCCGAAATCATTCTGCCGAACATCAGCTGGCCAGCAGCTGGCCACTCAAAGTGTTGAGACTTTGTTCACACCTGGTAAATGGTGATTCAAATTGGGCCAATTCCAATTGGGCCTTCCAAAGCGAGGGTGTGTCATTCCAAGTATTCCCCTCATCACGCTCCATACATCTGTAGAGTTCCTTTCAAACAATCTCATCCAATTACTTGGAAATAAATAATTATCATATGCTTTAATTTATACTTGTCTCGTGAGCATAAGGATGGATTTTAATCTCTAAATCATTATCATTAGCCGTGATCATTCAACTGCTGGATGAAGGCCTTCCCTAGTCGTCGCCATCTCTTGATCTTGCAAATTAATCATTACGTGCCTGTTTTGTTATTGCAAAGAAGCCATTTTTGACCACTTGAAATTTTTAAATAAAATGTTCTAAACCAGCCTGTGAAGTCCAGGAATATATTCCCTCTTACACGAACAGCTCAGGAACAGCCATATTCAAGACTGGTCATGTCATCTTGACACTGGGGGGCGTGCTGATATTCCCGTTATGTTGAAAACAGCCCATTGCGTGCACTTGTTATGAGGAATAGCGTGATGGTGTGACCACACCGCCAATGGCATCGTGTGACCCGACCGCAATATCTTGAGTTGCGTGCAATGAATTGAGATCAATGTGTGACTACGTTTGGTGGTCGGTGACGTCAGGAGTGATCGTTTCGAAGGTGCAGTTGCGCTTCCAGTTTGTTCTTAGGGAGGGGGGGGGGGCGGTTGTTGTACTAAACATCGTGTTGCCGCAGCGATTTACTTAACGTGGGCACGGCTCTTTCGTCTGTTTAGTAGCAAATCCGCCGTGTGTCGTTCAGAACCATGCGGTCTTTGTTGTGTTCCGCCTGAAATTGCCTTTCATCCGATGTTGCCAGCAACTTGCACCCGCGAAGTGACATTGAGACCATGGAATGAGCACAGGGCCTAACGTGGGACAGCACTTGGGCTGTGAGGCGGCATGGGGATATGTCCAAAAGAAGCCCGCAATGCCGCCTGTTGGCCTGCATGTGGACGACTGTGATTGTTAGTCACTGGTCTTGCAAATGTTTAAACTGTGGCCTTGTATATTTTTGTTAGATTGTTTTTTCTATATATATACTGTCAGTATATTTACCGTTTTACTAGTGTCCTTGTGGAAAGCTCCTCTCGGATAGCAAGCTACGTTGATGTATAAACACTCGAGGAAAGCTCACGACAGCAAGTGAATCAGCACCTGCTGTGACATTTTGACTACCGCAAGGAGATCTATCGTAGTCGGAATTGGGCGAGGGTTTTTCCGTGATATCGTGGCTGGCTTCAGTCGGTAGCCGTGAAAGGTTTACGGGGAAACGCGCTTTATGCTTTGGCATATTTTCGCTAAGGTTTTGCAGCAAACAAAAAAAAATCGGCAAAAAACACCCTCTACTTTTTTTTACACAATTCATGAATATCGGGCCCTCCCACGGACTCAACCCACGCGTGTGCTTTCCACGGGTGCCAGCAAGCATCAACTTCAAGCTTAGGCATTATGGCTTGAGTGTGCATTACTTGGTACAATACATTCCATCATTGTTAATGTTTGTAGTCACAGGCTTCCGATGTGTGCGAGTGTAAAACGCGTGTAGACTGTGTTCAGATATAGACAATGTATTATTGCTATTGTTTCTCTAACCAGTGCTTTGTTCATCATTTCTTTGTAATCTTTGTACGAAATAAACACGTGCAAAAATATATGAAGTTTTCAATTTTTTTTTTATATTTTAATGTTTATCTTTCGTCTGCGTTTAGCTGATGAACATTCTGGAAGAAAACACAAAAATGTCACGCAGCTTTGTCTTGATGCTACTTAAATAGCGATTTTTCAATCGAATCATGACCTCTTATCGTGACGAGGTAGAACGAATTATTACATGCTTAACGTAATGTGCAAATCAATAAATACGGTACTTAGTTCATAAATAAAATGCTCAAACAATTTAAATATAGCATCTATATCATGACATCTCAAGATACTTGTCCGACATGAAATTAATCACAGTTGGGTGGGGTGGGGGGGGGGAGCGAACCTCATGCCAAGCACTAACAACAAACGAGCCCCAGGGCAGCCAGGGCAGTACCAATGAGTCCTAGGGCACCCTCGGGGTGCCGTGAGACCTTCCAACCCGCTTCAGGACATCCACAAGGAGGTGTCACGTGTGACATCGTCTTGCGGTGGATTTTCCTTGGCGCACGGCGACATCACACTGATCTCACACTGCTCATTGCGAAAGTTCCAAATGTCAACCTCTTCATTTCGTCAACACATGATGCAGAGGGCAACGCAATTGTTGGAGGCAAAAATGGGGCGAAACAAATATAACATTAATAGGTAGTTGAAGTTGTCGTCGTTCATCTGCCGTCTTCGAATGAATCATAATGCCGTCCGGTGGCGTCGCCGTCGAGTGTGCAGGCGGTGCAACTGCGCTCAGACCCAGGCGCCAGGCTGCAAAGAGTGGGGCGGAATATTGCACGGGATGCCCCATTGTCGTTCCTTGCACCAGGAGCCCGTGCCAACCACACGCTACGCCGCCGACAGCCGCCATCATTTCTTTGGCCTCCAGTCGAAGAGCGGTGCCGCCGTGTAGTCTCCCACCGCCCAGCTGAACAGCGACTGGAATGAAGAGGGTGGCAAAGATGTCCAATTGAGTGAGCGAGAGTTAACGCCGATAACTCGCCGTCTTGACGATGTAACGCTCCCCCTCTCTCTCCGGCTCACCCCCACCCACCACATCGTGATGGCCTTAATAGATGCTTACTGAAGAGTTGTAAAGGGAATATGTACCATGTTGTCTCCATTAATAATAATTGATGTTATTTGTTTATTCACGAAAGCCTCACCGAGTCCCAATACCATGTTGATGGCTGGTGATGATTGCATTAGGACGTTTGGCCAATTCCATGAATGTGAGTTTGGCTTCATGTCGTAGGGAACTGGGGAACCCGGAGAAAACCTACCGCTCGGCACTGCCATCCGAAGGCCACAACCTCACAGCGCAACGAAAAAAACACTTTGGCAAGCCCCGGTGATGGTCACCACCCGTCCAAAAAACTAACAAGGATGAAACCTCCGTCTGAGCTCTGATGGGCTTGACCATCGTTTTATGTTTTTTTATATTCTTGGTTCTTTCGGTAAAGTCACGTATAAGGGAAATAATAAAATAATATAAATATACTTTTTATTATTTCCCTTCTACGTGACTTTACCGAAAGAACCAAGAATATACATCAGACTCTGCCTTCTCGACAGACCTGGTCTTCACCTGAAGACGGCTGCTTGCGTTGTGGCCGAAACGTCGTGAGAATTATTTTATTGTTTTATTTTTATTATTTTATTATTTTCCTTCTACGTGACTTTACCGAAAGAACCAAGAAGATGAATCCCTGCAGTCACGCTAAGCTTTAAATCGAACTATACATCGTTTTATGGTTTGGTGTAGGTTGCAGGACGATGGGAACCCAGGTGACGTTTTACCTGCAGAATCCGGTTGCAAGAGGAGGGCAGCAGCAGGAGCGTCCCTTGGGAAATCACGGAACATGGGACACATGGGGCAGCCCTGACACCACACGTCCTAGCGGGGGAAAGAGTCGTGCACAAGTTAGGCCCGCGTTCTACATACAATGTGGATGTATACATCGTGTCTTAATGCCACGACATCGCACCTTAGCCAGGCCCGGATTTGCAAATGTCATTTGTAACTTTCATCCTTACCCATGTATCGATAGTTAAGATTTTTATTTTACTGAGGGACTTTGTGTTGTCTTGGTGTAATCTGGGACTGTTTTGTTTTGCTACCTTGGCCAAGATTGCATTTGGTCTTGAAAATTTTACAGGAATTGATATGCTTATGCAATTTGTACTTTAGTGTTTTATTTATTATTTTCATTTAGTGACTTGCTTAGTTTTCATGTCCTTTGCACTCCTATCGTTTTCGTATTGGTTCTTTGGTAACTTTCTGATCCGCCCCAACTGGACATCTGTGAAAAAGAGCTGCATAGCTCATCGGATTCTTCCAGTCTAAATAAAGATTCTGATTCAGAGGCCCCCGTTACAATGCAGTGTGGATGTGTGTAGATACATAAATGCCACCGCATCTCACCTCCTTAGCTTGCACTCTTTGTAAAAGTCATCTCCCAGCCCCCGCAGGAGCAAGGCTATCAGACTCAGGTGCGGAGACTCCGAGGAACTCGGCTCGTCATCTCCCGTCGACGTCAAGGACCTGGGGAGAGAGGGAGGGGAGAGGTAATGGAGAGAAAATAAGGAAAGAATAAGGGTTGACGAATATACATAACGGATGCTAATGGTATGAAATCATACGAACGATTTGAACTTGTAATTGACCTCACAGTATTTGCTCGCTCTTGCAGAGAGAAAGAGGACGACTCAAGAGGCGCAAGGAGGAGCCGCAGGCAAGCGGGAGAGGCAGCAGCCAGGCACCAAGTTTTCCCTTACTCCCCCAAGCTCTGCAGTCCTCTATGTATGAAGGTGGTATTGGCCAAGTAATTCTAGTTAATTGCCCAAGCATCCCAATGCCGCAGATAACCTCGTGCAAGGGTCTTCCTTCACCTTTTTAAGGAAACTTGAATTGGAAAGTTGAACACGTCGGCTTTCGCGACCAATATTATCCATAAGAGGATTTTTGGGTGAGATCCCGTAAATATAAATGTGTCGTTAAACCCACCACCACCCGACACAGCCAATTAGTAAGGTTTGTCATGTAAAAAAGACATGCCAATTCGTTACTAGTTCAACACGCCGGTGTGTTGGCGAGTAAATCCACAACATTTACAATTCGAGTACGACGTTTCGCCGGTAATTACAACCAGCCTCCATCGTGAATGGGAAAGTCATGAAAAGTTTCCACTTAGATGCATTCCAACTGGAATTCTGAGGACCCGTATTTGTGTGTTTACACACACTTCTCGAGAGAGAAAAAAACATCTCACACGCATCCTTTTCCTCTGTGGCTCGTTCTCAGCATCTGAAGCAATACCAGCAGGGGCCACCAAAGGGCAAGGTTTCACCGACTACGCAGTAACAATCGATTAGACTGGAGTACAATGTCGTTCTGTCATTATTGTGCACAGGGTACGGCCATCGATTGTCATCATTTGCGTTACTCACAAAGTGAGTGCCGCGTGTCACGCCGCGCGATTTATATGCAAGGAAATGCAAATGTGTTATCTCGGTGAATGGAACGCATGAGATGGGAAAAGTCCGATACAGAAGAAAGGATAGAGAGCATAAACGAGACAGACAACGCAAACGAGACATAATACAAACGAGACAATACAAACGAGACAGACAATACAAACGAGACATAATACAAACGAGACATAATACAAACGAGACATAATACAAACGAGACAATACAAACGAGAAAGACAATACAAACGAGACAATACAAACGAGAAAGACAATACAAACGAGACAATACAAACGAGAGAGACAATACAAACGAGGCAATACAAACGAGACAATACAAACGAGAAAGGCAATACAAACGAGACAGACAATACAAACGAGTCAGACAATACAAACGAGTCAGACAATACAAACGAGTCAGACAATACAAACGAGACAGACAATACAAACGAGACAGACAATACAAACGAGAACGCACAAACGAGATAGACGCTGCACACGGGGAGACGGTGCAAGCGAGAAGGCTTGATAAACGGGTTGTTGCCCCACGTGAGTTTGAAGCTTCGTTAATGACAAACAAAATACTATCAATTTACGATTGCTTTGGGTTACGTTTTTTTCTCTCCATTAACAGTGCGGTACAGTGTGTCACCTGATAAAGCCTATGGCATTTATTGAGACGTTGCCGTGCAGACAGACGCGAGCTTTACTCTACAGCATGAATTACACTCGTCGTCATTATACTTAAGCCTGAGTGACACCAAACAAAGCCATTCGCGTTGATGAAGATGCTCATTACATCTCATGGCATCTATCCGCCCAGCAGTGTAAACCGGTACATCGCAGCCAATCGGCGGGTCACGTGCGGTCGGGTAAATCGTGGAAGAGTAGGCCAAACATCCCTCCTCTCTAGACTCGAGCTCTTGTCAAGTGGAGGAGGCCCTTCTTCCACCAGCAGTGGCCCGAGGAAGCAATTGCAGGGCTGCGCCTTAACCTCCGTATAACTTTGTTTCACCAAAAAAATATTGAATTCCAGAACTGATTAAGTGTAAAACTTGTTCGACGAAGTGAGGACTCACCTGCCAGCAAAGAGCGTAGTTTTCCCAAAGCCTTGGTCAAGTTGATTGAGAGACATCTTAACCCTACAGTTTGCAGTGTGTGTATATATTTAGAAATACTTCTTATTTTCTGCCACGCTTAAACAGAGGCAGCGATTTGTTTTGTTCACGGGCGATACTGAAGCAGCTTGCCAGCCTCTCCGGTCTATATATGCACACACCTGTGTCACCTGGGTGTGTCACACGCGTGACGCGTCGCAGAGTCTCGTTGGGCGTTGGGTTTTTCTTTGAGCATCTCCTGGCAGATGAGAAAGCAAGAGAGAATCATGCGAAAGCCCAATCCACCACCACCATCAGCCTCAGCAGCAGCAGCAAGCAGGCAGCACTTCTAAAGGGGCCGGACTTGCTGTCTGCCGTGTAGCAAAGGTTGGAGGACATTGCCCCGTGCGAAACTCGGTTTATAGACGGAGGTTTTTACGACTTTGGACATTATAGCCTCTCTCTCCGGTGAGGAAAGGGGTGGCGGTCCTCACCTTTGACCACAAACTCTTGTTGTCCCCAGCGACGTAAAGTCGTGAGCCGCAACGATCGGTGTTGCTTGTAATGATGATGCGTCGTCGTCGTTATAATCATAGACCCAGGGGAGATCGAAAAACAGAAAATAACAAGAAGAGCATGTGCTTTTGTTTGTGAATGGTGAACACGAGAGGGTCGTCCTTAATTGATAAGTTCACAAAGCAGTCACTTTCAAGAGCCGACCCCTTCACCCAGTTGCTTTGGGGGTGATCGACACTGCGCCAACGAACCCGGCGACCAGAGTTCGATTCCCTCGCCCACGGCCACCAGCATCGTTGATGAATATATCCGAAGCGGTCCTGACCGAACCACCTTAGGTTGAATCCCGTCTTAAATGTGTAAACATCAACACTGGGGAGACAAAGGCGGCCGGGCGTGGTTGTTAAGCCACACACCCCCTCGTAGTGCCGTGCCGGCCTACAGCACTTGCTTCAACAGTCTGTTTCAGATGTTACGGGGTGGGGGGGGGCAGGAGATATGTGTCTGTGTTACACCTTGCCCATTTGCCAAGGTGGCCCGTTTGTAAATCCGCTGCTGCGTGAGGGTTTCCCTACGCTGTGCAGAGCATGAGGTGGTGTGTGTGTGGGTAATTTCGCCATACTTCACCCACGTTTGTCATTGCAGGCTGGTGAAACCTTGCCGCACATTTTTACGGGTGGAACGATGCATGCCATGGATCGACCGATTTGATACGGAGATTGGCCAAACATCCAAATTGTTAGCAAGACCCTCGTTAAAAAAAAAAGATTCTTGAGACTCCGTCAGCCTATCCTGGGTAAAACGAACGGGCATTGCTATCATTGTTACAAGTCGTTGCCCATAGCCAACGAAGGTCTGGCTTTTCCACCGTCGGGAGGGGTAGAATTTCTCACCAATGGCTCGGGAGGCTGAATGTTGTCGTATGGCCATGTGCCTCCCGAGAGGGCCCCCCAAGGCCATTCGTTGCGCTGAGCGTCACTGCTGAGCGTCACTGCTGACGTTTTTGACCGATGGCAGCGGTGGGGGGGGTTTCTCTCTGAACGCAAAGTCGAAAGGTGACGAGCGCACACGTGTAGACGTAAACAAGGTAAACCCGTCACTCCACGTGTAGTAGAAGCAAAAAAAGATGTTCGTTCACATTTTTATAGCGTGACACCACGCGACAGGTGACTTGCTGGATGGGCTCAATAGTTCGGGGACATTTGTTGAGCTTAGCTGAATTTGAGTCTTGCGGTGGCTGGACATGCGGGTTGCATGAATATAACTGCATACGCACAGATGCATTTGACCGCCACAAGCGATATGAATTACTAAACACTCAACAACGCCAATAAACACGTTTTATTCACAAATACCTCTTCTTCATTACAAGATGCATGTGTAATTTAATATATTCTTTGACAATAAAACATGCTTTAAAAGATGTTCACACAATCGATAATACAGTACATTAACTAAGTTTAGTCTGTCAAGTCGTCCAGCTGACTGACCAATATTTCCCAAGCGGCATTTATTTAACTGCACAGACAGCACGGTGTGGCCTGTTCGGAAAACGGCACCGGGTCTATGAACATTGAGGAGTCTGCGAATACTGGGACCCAAACGTATAAATGATGCAGAAGTATCCAGAACATGACGAATTTATACTTTTCTGCTTTGGTAATATTTAAGCGTTCAGGTGGCAGACTGAATGCCACCCTCTTCTCTTCTGTCTATGACTCCCCAATGAAGTGCCTTCTACCCTCTCTTCCCTGACGTCTCCTCTATCTCCCATTCTCTCTGAACACAGCCTAAACAACCATATCTGTCTCATGTTCCCACTACGTACACGTTCGCGTTGTGTGTACAGCGTTTTAAGATGTAGTCGCAGTACAGAGGAAACCGTACAGTCAACATACAGTCAGCGGTCAAGTTAATATTTGACATGCCATTGGATGATTTGCAAGTACAATTCAGGCATAGAGGCTGCACGTGACGATTTAGAAGGGCTCTGTTATCATTCGCACTGCACTGCCATGGGAATGTGGAATTTCAGAGCGACATGGACTTCCCAGCATAGATATGCGCAACACCATTGGTCATTGGATCATAACAGCGTGTGAAAACGACGATACTTTAAGCTGTTAACGTCTTCCACACGTGACGAAAAATATTCATGAAATAGCAAAACCTTGCAAAGTAGGAATCCTCCAAAAACAAACACTTTAAGATTCGTTGAGGCTGCCTCGGGTAAATAAATTATGACGCAATTAGGTGGATTACAAGTACGATTATAACGGAGTTAACAAGGTTGCCACAACTTAAATAAATACCACTTGGAAACATTACTCTCTTTTGTGTTATCAGAAGACAATTTTATGCCCATGCTTGCACACTTTTTGTGCAGTAGTGCGGGAGGAGCAATGGAGGTTGTCGCGGTTATGCTGCTGTGTGGCTCTCTCGATCGTTTTCGGGTTGTACCACGTGCAGCGAAACATCGGACATCACGCCGAGCAACACGCGGCCAAGCCTGACGAAACACTGGCGAGCGATCGTGGATTCTCATCCTTCATGCCACGCAACAACAAAATGACAGTTTTGATTAGTTTGTCGTTTCCATGGTGAACTCTGCAAACGTGGCTTTAGTAGCCAATTTGGCACACGCTTCACAGCAAATGGGTACGACGAAGAAAACAAAATCACGCAACTATGCAAACAGCTTCTTTCGCGGGCACGACAGTAATTGTGCGTGCACTCACACGCCCGGTTACGCAGCAGTTCCCAAGCCGAAAACGGAGCGGTAATCCAGTATGTGTTTGTGTGTATGTATCAAGTTCGATTCACCTTGCCAGTCATTTAATGAATTGTCAGGATTCGAGCTATGATTACACTGGTTACACTGTTTTAGACTAATTTCAGGGTGCTGATTCCAAATCTGATCTCAGATTTGCTCTATCACATCTCATTCTATGCTATCGGCATACCCCATTTTCATTGATTTTACCCGAAATTAACTCACTTATGATTGCAAGTTGTTGCGAGTCAGTGACTGCTTTAGTGTTAAAATATGGTGCTGTATTTTTAGGATAGTGTGTTTATAATATCATTTTATGTAGATATCCACATTTATTTAATATTTTTCTTCTGCAGTTTTTATTAAAAATGCAATATTTGATATTTCAAAAACCTGATGTGATAGACAAAAACTGATGCAGATTTGGAATCAGCATCCCAAAATTACCTTAAAACCGTTTTTTGCCAGAAAAAGTGTGTTGACCAGTGTTATGATTCAATACATTTGTATTTGTCTCTTGAATACTCATTTATTATATTTCCTGTTTCGTATTTTGTATTCCGTCACATCTTGCTTGTTCCATTAGACAAAAATTCCACGAGTATATGATTTGCAGGTAATTTACGTAAACAGTTAAGACATTTTTAAGATGCCGAAATCGATGTAGGTAACCCTAATCGATGTCAATCGATGGAACAATTTACATGCCCAGCACACAGTGCAACGTATCAGCTCCAGGGAGAGGCCTCTCACCATAGGTAAAGCATTAGCAAGGTCTCACAGCCACGGCTGCCTTGACTACCATCACAACAACCGTTTGAGGCCATTCTTATTCATGAAGGCCACTGACGTCGAGATTTGTCTTTTTCACTCACAAAGCATATTAAAAACCGTTCTTTTTAAATCAACCGAATTGCTTTATATAGACTGACATAATAATACAGTATTCTCATGCAATGTCTTATAAAAGATACATTAAATGTCCACATCTAAGGGCCCCTGTACAGTCCAGCTTTATACACTGACCGGTCTTCTCTATGAAAATGCAAATTAAAACCGTTACCTGTTGCTGCTGCACTAATCTTATTTGTGTATACAGTCATACCTCGGTATACGACCACTTTGGAATACGTCGAATTTGGTATACGTCGTGTTTTGAGAAAAAAATGTCTTGGGATACGACGTCTTGCTTGGGATACGACGCGCTTGCTAGACCTTGTATGGGTCGGGACGAGTCACCGCGTACCCGCGTAGACCCCGTTCACGTCTCCTCCCCTTACTCACCACCATCCTCGTAGGCTATCAACTCCTCTAAGCAAGGTAAAGTGATGTTACATTTTATTTAAATGTATTTTGATTCATGCATTTATTTTAATTTACGTATGCATTTTAGTAATAAGTAGTGTCTAAATTATTTTATACAACCCCATTAATGTATAATATGCCATATAAAATATTATTTCTTATACTCTGGAATGGATTATTTACTTTCCCTTTATTTCTTACGGAAAAAATTCATTTGGTATACGTCATTTTCGGTATAAGTCCTACCTTCTGGAACAAATTAATGGCGTATACCGAGGTAACACTGTATATTAAAACGTGGATTGTATTTCTGAGGGCAGGCATTTGGAATGTCTTGTGGTAAAGGAGCACGAAGCCACATTGCATCCAGACCCCTAAACCCTTCTAGATGCAAGCAAAACATAACAAGGACAGGTTTTCCTAGATTTATGCGGTAGTAGTAGATGCGTACCAAAAAAAGGGAATACAAAGCGAAACCGCACAAGAATACAGCTGCCTGCCGAGTAGCGTGTACAGTACACGCACACAATGTTTCCCACGTCCGACCGCATAGCCGTGAAACCGCATATAACGAATTTTGGGGATAAATATACAGCGCAAATTCGCACAAACCGAACCCGCATATTGCGAGGAAAATCTGTAGCTCTTCTCTTTCAGACGCATCCCTAGGCTGCGTGTCCTGGGAACACAATATCGGTATGTAGCTGCAAGATAACAGCCGTTTGAGTTTTGGGTCACATCTTTAAATTTCAGGACAATGGGTTGAGAGTTGTGCAGCGAGCCCAGGATGAAAACATTTCTAGTTTCCTGAAACCGAGTGAGAGTCCAGGCAATATCTTGCGACGTCATACGTAATTATAACCAGTCTTGCGTCAAAGTTTACACAAAATACTCGTGGTATATAACAGTATGCAAAATTCAGTACTAAACTGCTCTACAGACTCTAACAAAAATCATTAAAACTAAGTTATTCAGATGATTTTCAACCACGTGCTAAAAAAAGCCGTGCTATTAAAATGGAATAAAGGGCTTTCACTATTAAACCGTGCCTCAGATTTCAGCTATGGCCGGTCAGGGCAGCCAGGGAAAAGCCATGGCAGGTGAAGTTGACTTCGGCGGTGGTTCAAGTCAGTCTAGAAGCCACGTTTTAGGCCGTCGCTGCAGGCAGGTAGCAGTCACCTCACAGCGGGCTGTGGCAATCTCTACGGTAGCTTGTATGGCAGTGTGCACTCGTGGCAAGTCAGGTTAGCTTATAGCAGACCATACCTAGTGAGGCATGGCGGGTCTTGTATATGTTGAGTAATGGCAAGTTGAGTTGCACTTGGGCTGTCAGTGGTAGTAGCCCTTGGCAGTTGAATGGGTCAGTGGTTGTCCCAGACAAGGCCATGGTTCAGTGGCAGACTGTGGCAGTGATTGGTATTTGGAATGGCTCAGTCGCAGACCGTGGCAAGTGGAATGGCTTAGATGTTGACTGTGGGACAGTCCATGGCATGTGGAAAGAGTCAGTGGCTGGCGGCTGTGGCGGGCCGTGTTGGTCCGTGGCAGTTTCACGTAGAGCCGGGGTGGAGTGGCGTCAGCTTGGCTCGTTTCGAGAGGCCAAGACGCAAGGTCGGACCTGGCGATTGGTTTGTTGTGCCCGGTGACAGGCCATTGTTTTTACTCGCTGGAGCTGTAATTGAGCAGAAAAGGAAATTCAGATGTGAAATATTTTGATCGCATGACGGGTGGTTAAAGGGTGTTGTTGGGGTTAGGCTAGGAGAGTAACACATGCTAACTCACGTTTAATATTTTTTAAGTCATCATTATTTTTGCCGTGGCATGGAGAAGCCTTCGTCCATGAGTGGATAATCAAAGGACTGCAAGCTATCGGGGGTTTAAAAACAAAAAATTCTATTTACTCTTGAGGATTACACATATGTAGTTGCCAAGTGACCATTGACTCCTCCAAAGTAATTAGAATCATGTCTTTATTTGGAGTCACAATTCGATTCGAAAATATATTCTATTTTTGCATCTCTTTTTGTGTTTTCTGCCTCCTTTAAAGAGTTTTGTCTGCACCATTAGCATATCGTACGTATCATCAGACATTCTCTATCCACTGCTAGATGAAGGCCTCCCCAAGCTGTCACCATCCCTCACGCTCACACAACAATGAATCTAGCACACACTCCGATATCCTCGCTCCATCTCCGCAGTGTACGCCCTAGTGTTTCCGCTCCGTCGTGAGTCTCGCATATGAGGTAATAACACTCAGCACTGCCACGTCCAGACCATCTCGCAGTCTCACACCTACATCACCTGGAAAGCTCTGGTGGTCATCACTTATCAAGGGACTAAGCAGGCTCAAACTCCTACTGAGCTTCCTAGACCCAGGGGAGATCAGGCACATTCATGGATGGTTTCATCGTGGGAAAACGTGAAAGAAATGCGAGTTAGAAACACGTGTGCTTGTGCCAGTTGTGGTCCGATGCTTTTTCCTTACCTGGAGGAACCCACTTGGGTTTACGCGATGCCGTGGCACGAGCTGTGACACCGGCTTTATTGAGGACAGGCGGGGGGCTGCGTTTCGGTGATTGTCGAGGTGCAGGATCTGGCCCAACATCCGCCCTGGCTCCACGTGCCGCGCCCTTTATTCTGCTGCCCCTGGCCACGGCTGCTTTGGTCCCTCTCCTGTCCGCGGCGGTGGCTGCAGCAGTGGACCTGGGTGCCTTGGACCTCCTGACGGGCTTCTTGTAGTTGCTGTCATCGCTGTCCGACTCCCCAGCAGACTCGGAGGACTCGCCCGTCTCGTCGTCTGGTGCGGCGTGACGCGATCGGGAATATAATTCGGAGGAACAAATACATATAAAAAGGTTGTGGTCATTGCATTGTGGTCACTGTAGTTTCATATTTCTGATCGATAAGAATTACTTTCCAACTCAAAATAAAACCACGTATTCCAATGTGGTCATGGCACATATTGAATGTTTGGCAAATATTACTTTTAAAAAAAAATATCAGAAACATAATATGTACATCAGGCATAGTACGATAGTAAGTGCTGCAAAGTCAACTTAAAATAATTTTTCTCGATAATTGGTTCTTTACCCTTCTATCTGGCAACAAAACTGACACCTTTTTGCAAGGAGTCATGTTTGCATAGACCGCAATACCTGCAGTCATAATACAAACAAAAGAACATAACTCTGATAATGTGCACTGTCCTTGAAGTTGATTGGTCCACACCCGAGACAGCTTTCCTTCGAGCCTAGTCTCATATGGGTTGGACCAGATGACGCCAAAAGGCGCACAACTCAAGGACAATGCACCATCAGAGTATGAGAGCTCGGGGCAAGCATCTACACTATGGGGACCTCATTTGCCAGTAAAAATATGATAATTGGTTCTTTACCCTTCTATCTGGCAACAAAACTGACACCTTTTTGCAAGGAGTCATGTTTGCATAGACCGCAATACCTGCAGTCATAATACAAACAAAAGAACATAACTCTGATAATGTGCACTGTCCTTGAAGTTCACATTATCAGAGTTATGTTCTTTTGTTTGTATTATGACTGCAGGTATTGCGGTCTATGCAAACATGACTCCTTGCAAAAAGGTGTCAGTTTTGTTGCCAGATAGAAGGGTAAAGAACCAATTATCATATTTTTACTGGCAAATGAGGTCCCCATAGTGTATAATTTTTCTCACTAATGATGCTGCAGCATCACAAGATACATCCCAGAGTACACAGCCTACGTGTGTAACTGCAAGGTAAGAGCTGTTTGATGTAACGGTTGTGCGGATCCTTAACTAACTGACTACTTCATCCCACATCTTAAAATGTGGTTGCATTTAGACATGAAGTATCTCGACTATAAAAACAAATAAAGAAGACAATTTAGGAAAAAGCCAGCAGGAGAATTTGGTGCAGAAGATACAGACCTGTTTGGTTTGCACAGAGGGCAACAAATCAGCATCATAAGTGGCCTTGCACGGCCACGTAAACTAAACAATTTTTTTTTTTATCAGGTAAGGCCCACTGAGCTTTTTATCTATTCTTCAGAAGCTACTTCGTTATCACAAATGATAGCTCAAGCAAGTGGCTTATTATCACGTGGAAATGTATAGCAGTCAAATATGCATGTTGATTTTAAATGTGGAGGGGAAAACCGGAGGACCCGGAGAAAAATCCACGTGACCACGGGGAGAACATGCAAACTCCAAATATACAGGCATCAGTGTCGGGATCGAACCCACGACATCCTGTGTACCAGGAAAGGTAGTTAAACATCTCGCCATCGTACAAACACAGATTCCCCGTATAGCCATTCACAGGCTATTGTGGCAACTGCTGTTAGCGAGGACCTATGAAGGTTGACACAGCACACGTGGGGGTAGATGGCCAGCACCATGCCTGGATTTGCACCAGGTACTCATTTGCGGCTCAGTCGACCTAGGAGAGGCCCTGGACTGGTTCATATAATCGTTACTGGTGTTGGCAGTGAGCACTATGCATGTCCACACACACCTGTAAACATACAGAAAGCCAGAATCTCATACCGGCTGCGTCGTCAGTGTTGACGTTGGCACTGCCCATGGCTTCCTGTGAACTCTCCCGCGAAGACACCGCGATTTCCGTCTGATCACCAGCGAGGGCAAGGACCTTCTTGAGGTCCCTCTCAAAGAGACGCTCATCCAGGGATGGTCTGCGCAGAGTGGCGTAAAGTGCGATTGCAAACGACGACAATGCACATAGGTTGGTGTGGGCAGTGCAATAATGTTATAAATAAGAGGTTGCTACTTAACATGATGGAGCAGGTGGAAGGAGGGAATCCAAACTATGTATGGAAGGAATTGCCCTCCTGATGGATGAATGAATTGTCATGATTTAGGATTGAAATTCGGCTGAAGAATCTGTTCTTTTGTTACCATTGTAGTGAATGTAGTGGCTACTAGTGACTATAGGAAGCAACTACGAACCCATGAGATATAACATATACAATCCAAAAAACGCTGAATTGGAAAAAATGACGAGGCGATGCACTCCGCCTGGTGAGCGTTCCAAAGGGACATGTCTTTAAATCCTTTATATTAAGTTCGCTTGCTTGCTTGCTTGCTTACGACCGTGCAAATCTTTCGGTCGTTTTTTAACCCACTTCCCGTGATCCAATCGAGCTGACATTTTCCACACAGACTCGTTGTGCGTGACAATTAATTTTCATAAAAAAAATTTTCTAAAATTTTACACTGTTTAGGGAACATTTTTTTAATATTTAATTACCAATTGCTTAATGCTGGCAGACAATCATCTTACCCATAGGTGGCAGCCATCTCAAGCCAGAGGACGAGAGGACTCTAGCCGCCACGCATATAAAGGATTTAGAGTGAAAAACTTTGTTTTTACGGGTTAAATTTTTATCTCATGACATGATGTAACGGGACAATTATAATGTACTCTTTGAAATGTCTTGTAAGCATGTCGTTCATTTATTAGTTTCACTGTTCTTATTACCTTTCGTCTCTTGCTGTTTTTGCTGCTGTGTTCAAGGCCGTGTCTTGACTGGACTTCTTGGTTCCGCTCAAGGCCCTCTTTTCAGGCTTTCTCTTTGCCTTGTCGCCATCTCCATCGTCAGAATTGGTCACCACCCGAGATCTTTTGCTTGGCGGAAGAGAGGCCGATGAGAAATCATCGTCTGTGGTGATGTAACACACACGCACACAGACACATTGATGCGTGCACATCGCAGGGTTGTTAAACCGATAACCATTTTCAGAATCAAATCGCGGTTATGAAAGTTAGGATCTGGCAATTGTTTACAGTGGGATTTTAGTGATGAATGCATTGACTGGCACGTGTGAACGTACAAACTGTGGCACCATACCCTTGTGCGCACCTCCGATTAGCAAGGTTGGCTACGTACGATGCGAAAGAAGTTCAACATACAAACGTGCACACAACATACAAAAGGTAAAGGTGCAACCTTACAATCACTTGCTGGTGGAAAGGGCCTCCACAAGGAGCTGTAAACAGTAAATGGCCGACTCTTCCATGCTGGTCAGACACATTGGTAGAGGTGGAAAAGTGCCCACACTTTCCTCGACCACACGCGATCAAGCGCGGTAGACTCATTTACCCTGCTGGGTGGAAGAGAGGTCCTCAGGGGATTTAAAAAACTTGCCACATTGAACCAGCGGCTTATGGATTGCAAGCCAATCGTGCTCACCATTGCACCACGGTAGCTCCCTTGTGGATGGATCTGATGTTATTTAACATTGACAATGAAATTTGACTTTTCATTATTTAAATAAGCGAATGAGTCAATGGACCATAATAACAATATAATAATCATAACCATCACTACTGTCCATCACGTCATCTGCCCATAAACATCATGTATAAATAGATATCCCACATTCTACTCACCATCGTCTTCAAAGTCCTTAGGCTGAGTGTAATCAACTGCTTTCTTGATTCTGCAACAATCATTGGGATAAAAAAAACACAATTCAAGATTAATTCAGGAATAACTCGCGTTATTACGTACACGGAATTCACGAGCCTACTTGCTGTACTGCCAGAACACCTGTGGCCACTGAATTACAATGACACAATGCGAAGCAAGTTGCCAATCAATGACATTGACGCCGCATTGAAACTCGTCATAATCGATGAACATAACACGGAGCCCACCAACAACTCTCCCAACTGATCCGACGCACCAATATCATCGATTGATCAGTCAACGTGACGCAGCGTTTGGCCACCATCGGTCAATCAACATCGATGCACCAAACCAATCGATGAGCACGGTTGACGACGTACGGAGCGAAAGAAGTTCAACGTTCATGCGTAATGAATTAAGGACGATCGATGAACATTACACCGTGCCAATAATGTAGGCGAGCCGTGTATACATCTACTAAAAGTTGCCAATGAATGCACTGTTCATTAACAGTGTCAAAAAAGCGATTCACGTTGTAAATCAATTAACCGTGCCAGTGAATCAATAATCAGCGGCAATTAATCAAGTTACAGTGGCAATGAAATAACAGTGCCAATCGATTAAGTGTTAATTAACAGTGCCAAAGAGTTAAGTGTCAATTAATTAACAGTGCAAATCAATTAACACAAGCGTGGTCACCACATCTACGCCTCTCTGTAAGGAACGAAACAGGTGGACTTCTCCACATAGCTGGTTGTATTTACTGGCGAAACGTCGGACTCAGATGGTAAATGTTGTGGCTTGGCTCTCCAACACACCGGTGTGCTGTACTAGTATACTACACTATACACTACACTACTATACCACACACTACACTACTATACACTACATTATACACTACATTACACTACACTACTCTATACCATACACTACACTACTATACCATACACTACTATACACTACACTACTATACATTATACTATACACTACTATACATTATACTATACACTACTATACACTACACTATACACTACATTACACTACTATACACTACTATACACTACACTATACACTACTATACATTACACTACTATACATTACACTACTATACACTACACTATACACTACTATACATTACACTACTATACACTACACACTAGTGTTGTACCAGTGACGAATTGGCACGTTCTGTTTACGTGACAACCCTTACTAGTTGGCTGTGTCGGGTGGTGGAGGGTTTTAACGACACATTTATACGTTTACGCGATCTAACCCCAAAACAACCTCTTATTATGAATGAACACCGAGCTCACAGAGACACTGCCGCTCACGTACCTGAGTGATCGGGACATATCGATTCAAGTTAAAATCCGCTCATCCCCCCAATAAAACAACCGACGCGACCAATTAAGCCGAGCAATCCAACTCTTAATTAAATAGCGCTCATTCATTAATCGCCGCAGCTCGGCAGAACTTCGCGTTCGCTTCAGGCGGTGAAGGCAAAGAAAGAGGGCCCTGCCTGCCTTTCGGTCACGGCGCATGAAATAATAAAAAAAACACGCGGATAAGAGCCGCGGTGACGACAGTAACAATAGCGATGAGGGTATTTTCCTCAAACGTGAGGGAAGTGAACGTTAAATATTAATAAAATATAAACAATTAGTGATTAACGCGTTGCGGAGTTGCCGCGAAAGCGGCTTTGCAACACACGGGGGCGACAAGCCGCCCGTTTCGACGCAAGCAGTTTCGTCACGACGCCGATTGAGTGGTGGTGGTCACGGTACAATTTAAAAACCTACGTTTAAAATATCGTAAGTATTGGTTTAATCTCGTTTCCAATGTGTACATATAAATAATTAATGTTTTGGGGGTAGGGGGGTGTTTTCAAATATGCAAATGTTGTGTATTGCGTCAAGTAAGGCAGAAATATCGGGTGAATGTGTTGACGAATGCGGTACACGAATGATCGGTTGGCAGCGTCTTATCCACGTGGTTGGGTGAATGAATGGGTGGATGAGTGAGTTTATAATGAATTAATTCATGGATTTGAGTGAGTGAGTTAATTATTGATGGATAGCTAATACATAGCATGGAAGGGTGGGTGAATTGGTGAATTAATATATGGTTTGATGACTGAGTTAGGAAAATAAAGTGATCAATTTCATAGACGCATGGTTGGTATGCATTCGTGGTTGAAGGAATTGCGATCAATACATTATTGGGTTGCATATTGGGCGGTTTGGTGGAAGTGATGTATAGAATGTTAAAGGAACCGACAGGTTATTTATTGAAGGAGATATAATTGATTTCGAGCCCTGTTTTGGAACCGTGGTGATAACCCAAAAATGTGCAACATTTGGAGACCTGGGAGTTGAAATGCAAATAGTGGTTCAGGCAGACACATCGGTGATACTGTAAATGACGCAGCCGAGATACACTATGAGATCACTTGAAGATGTTCAATCAAAGTACTGTATTCAGACACGTCAGTTCTTGACTCCCCGTGGTGGACACTGAGTGGTGGACACTGCACGTGGTGGACACTCCACGTGGTGGACACTGAGTGGTGGACACTGACTATGGTGGACACTGCAACGTGGTGGACACTGCACGTGGTGGACACTGCACGTGGTGGACACTCCCGTGGTGGACACTGCTCGTGGTGGACACTGACTATGGTGGACACTGCTCGTGGTGGACACTGACTATGGTGGACACTGCCCGTGGTGGACACTGCCCGTGGTGGACACTGCACGTGGTGGACACTGCTCGTAGTGGACTCTACCCATGGTGGACACTGCCCGTGGTGGACACTGCACGTGGTGGACACTCCACGTGGTGGACTCTACCAATGGTGGACACTGCTCGTGGTGGACACTGCACGTGGTGGACACTGCTCGTGGTGGACACTGACTATGGTGGACACTGCACGTGGTGGACACTGACTATGGTGGACACTGCACGTGGTGGACACTGCTCGTGGTGGACACTGGTAGCAATTGCCACCGTAGGGGGTACAGACCACAACCAATCTGGCGTCCTGGGCTGTCTCTCTCCTCCCCAGATATGTCACGGGCGAACTGCTGCTGAAGGCTTCCGCCAACAGCAGGGGGCAGCATGCAGCGACATCACTGCGGCGTTTGAAACGATGCAAGTTGCTACTTTCACCCGATGCTTACGGGTCGATGCATCGATTACCGGCAATGCTGAAGCTCACGCTGCGTGTATCGAATCTAACGGATTTTTGTTTCTCTCTCAATACTTCTTGTACGTAACGGAGGCCGCTATACAATCACCGCAGGGTTTTCAAAGAGGGTTGATAATAATGATTGAATCGTAACGCGACCCGTGATTCGTGACGATCCATCATCCCTTTGGGAAGATTTTTTTTTATCTTTCTGAGAATGAACGTGGGACAAAAGGTGCAGAGCAGTCAACGAAGCGTGAATAGAAGAGCACTTCTTGGAAGAGGGCTCCTTGGTTTGGCTCGCGTAAAGCCACGACGCGCATTTCACACTGACTGCGTCAGGAGGAGCGTGGAGGGGTGGCGCATCATCATCGCTGTGATGATGATGCCTCCTCCTCCTCCTCGCGTACTCTTTGGTTCTTTCGGTAAATTCTAGATTTGAAGCTTTCGTGACTGCAAGGATTCATACTCTTAGGTGTTTCGGTAAAGTCACGTCGGTAAAAAGTTAATGATAAATAATATAATTGAAAAAATAATAGAAATAAAATAATAAATCACTTTCGGTGAAGTCACGTAGATAAAAAATAAAATAAAAATAGGAGATGAAAATAGAAATAAAAAATAAATAAAAGTGAATTTCAATTACGACGTTTCGATTGCAACACAAGTAAAGCAATCGTCATCAGGTGTGAAAATCACAGCTAGATTTTTTTTTTTACTAAAGTGGGAGAAATGCCGAGGCTAAGGAGTTTATATAAGTGTGGACGTCAGGGACTGGGACGTGAGACTCCGTTCTGGGTGACCATAGTCGCGCACTGAGGGGCCGTCCATAAATGACGTCACGCACATAGGGGGAGGGTGGGTCAGATTTTTGTGAAGATGTGTGACGAGGGGGGGGGGGGGGTTTGAGAAATGTGACGTCACATTAGAATGCGCAACTTTAAATAAATATGTAATTGTTATAACAAGACTAATTGTTATAACAACACTCCTACAACATCAGAGTGCAGCGCCACATTAAATACGCACTACAATGACAATAGTTTAAAGCGATTTGAAACATGTTTCATTTTCAAAATGGAAATATGGTTTGGGGGGGGGGCAGAGCTTTGTGACGTCATATTTGAGAGGGGGTCTGACTTTATGTGACGCCGTGTGACGAGGGGGGAGGGGGTCAAAAATCGATCAAAATCGCGTGACGTCATTTATGGACGGCCCTTGACCGTCGAGAGATGTGTTTTTTTTACTTTCTATTTGTGCATCAAGTATCCGCATCATCAGCTGCTGCTGCTGCTGCCATGGTTTGTGTGTGGGTAGCGGTTTAGGGGTTGTGGCCCCAGACGTTTCGCGGAGAGATCGAAGCCAGGGAGGGATCTTCTGGATCGTTGGGTCTTTCACGAGGTTATTTGTGACTTTTTGTGAATTCCTTTCTGGATTTCCCAGCAGCACCAGCATCATCAGCCTCATCATCAACAACAAGCAGGGCTATAGTTGCACTTTTGAAGGTTACGCGACGTGCTTCCAAAAGGGACCGCGCGACTTCAAGGACGGTGGCCAGGCACGTGACTTTGATCCTGGTGGGTGGGGATCACGCCGAGGGATAGGAAGAGAGGCGCACACGGATATGGCATCAGCGGTAACGTCAGGGACGACATTTACTGTCGGGGCTTGAGCAGGAGACGTCGCGAGAAGGCGATGGTGGAAGCCAGCGGAACGAGACTGGTCACGGCATGAGAGCCAAAGGTTGCAAACGTTGCCCGAGATGGCCAACCAAACCACGAGGCGGATTGTGACGTCGCAATAATGTGGAGGATGATTACATCGTGGGGGAGAGAGAGAGAGAGAGGCATTCATCCATCGGTAGATAGACATTGGCTGCTGATGATGATGATGATACTGATGATGATACCGATAATGATGATACTGATGACGATGATACTGATGATTATACTGATAACTATGATACTGATATTGATGATACTGATATTGATGATGACGATTATGATAACGATGATGATACCACTGATGATGATACCTGACTCACCATCGCATGGCCACGTGGACGTCTTGCTGGTGTCAGGAATGAATTAGCTTTCGCCTGACTCGGGGTGCGCACGCCCGCACTGCTGGCGGGGGTGCTCGTGTTTTATTGGAGCTCTCTCAAACCCCCCCCCCCACCCCTCTCCAAGCCCTCTCTCTGTGTGTCTCTGAGGATGCATTAATTGCCTTCGCAGTCCTTGCCAAGCACGGGGAGTGTAGGGGGGGGGGGGGTTCTGGATTCCAGAGTTGCAAAAAATGCCTCGGGCCCCGCTTAGGTCATGCCCGGCCAGCGGAGTGTAACTCAACAACACGTCGACGATGAACGGGCGCAACAACAACACTAATAACACTGATAGCGAGGGATCAAATAAAGGGGCAGCCCTGCAACGGCACGCCCGCTGGCGGAAAGGGGGCTCCAGTGGAGAGAGTTCTGGAGTGCCCGGTCTCGAGGGGATGTGGGTCTGCTCTTCCACACTGGCCAGGCGTGCTTGCTGATCGGTTAGCTGCGGTATAACCCGTGTGTAACTGCGGTTTAACCCGTGTGTAACTGCGGTATAACCCGTGTGTAACTGCTGGGTGGACAGAGGCGGGGGAGGGGCATTTAAGAAATCCTCCATTGCTCCGCCTGCCACGCTGGGAGATTGAACCGGCGACCTCTGCCATGGAATTGCCCGAGAAAGCCTCACTGAGTGCTGAAGTCTCTTAGCGAGGAGACTGTCCTGCCTGCTACATTGGGATAATTTGGCCAATGCCATGAAGGAGTGTTTGATTGTTGTGGAGGGGAGGGTAGAACACAGAAACCCGGAGAAAACCCACCGGGCATACGAGGAGTGACACTCAGCCATCCCATCTCCGAGCCTCAGCTCGTACCCCACGCCTTCGACACCCGGTAAGCCCCCCTAGCTGGTAGTCACCATTCATCCGAGCAACGAACCGGGCTCGGCCCCCGAGATCCGACGAGGGTTCCCCGGTGGATTCGGGGGGTGATTTGTTTTTGCGGCGGGGAAAAGGGGAGAAAAAAAATGAAAATTACTGCTGAAACAAAACTAAAAAACTCGTGCAACATGAATCTGCGCTCCTTCTGCTGCAGATGTCTTGCACGTGGTGTGTGTGCGCGCGCGCGCGCGGGGGTCCCACATCTCCGCCAGTCTCTACGTTCCCCACCGAGATTTGGAAAATCCACAGCGTTCTCGTGACGTGGCTGTGGTGCAAGTGCCATATATTTTCATTAGCGGGCTCGTATAATAATAGTCTTGTCGGCAGCCTGTAAAGACCGCACTTTTTTACGTTTAACCAAAACACTTTGAAAGATATAGTAGTTGGGAACGGAGTGTTTTGTGTGTGTCTGGGTGTAGCGGTGAGCGCGCTGCGCTACGAACCCGGCATCGGGAGTTCGATTCCCGCTCACGGCCAACACCCAGTGACAATTATCTGGAACCGGTCCTGGGCCTCCCCTAGGTCGACTCAGTCTCAAATGAGTACCTCGTGCGA